ATTGTATATGATCTGTTATGTATTGAATTATAACATCTATTTATCGAAACATATTTAATTATAAAACTGACTGCTTCTGCAGCCTTTTTGAGACGACACAAACGTTGTTCTGGGCTGTCTTTGGGCTGATTGACCTGGACAGCTTTGAGCTGGATGGCATCAAGATCTTCACACGCTTCTGGGGCATGCTTATGTTTGGCACCTACTCCGTTATCAACATAGTGGTGCTGCTCAATCTCTTGATTGCCATGATGAACCACTCGTATCAGCTAATATCGGTAGAGTATACAAATATATATATATATATAGATCAGCTATCAAATAGTTAAGACTAATTACGAACTGCTAGGAACGCGCCGATGTCGAGTGGAAATTCGCTCGCTCCAAATTGTGGATCAGCTACTTCGAGGAGGGCGGCACTTGCCCGCCTCCATTCAATATAATTCCCACGCCCAAGTCCATTTGGTACGCCAGCAAGTGGATGCGTCAGGTGTTTTGCAGCGGCTCCTCGGCTGCTCGACGCGAGCACCTGAAGACAATACGCGTAAGTATTTCTACTAACTGGACTAATAACTTGGCTTACTCTAACTAACTTGTTGTGCTAGCGCAAGGCTCAGCAGGCCAGTGACCGGGACTTCAAGTACCAGCAGATCATGCGTAACCTGGTGCGTCGCTATGTGACCGTGGAGCAGCGCAAGGCGGAGTCGCAGGGCGTCACGGAGGACGATGTCAACGAGATTAAGCAGGACATTTCCGCCTTCCGCTGCGAGCTGGTCGAGATACTGAAGAACAGCGGCATGGATACGAACGTAACTGCAGGACAAGGTGGCGGTAAGCTGCTCTTGGACACACTCGAATCGCTCGCTAATCTCAGTTTCTTCCGCTTCTCGCAGGCGGCGGCGGCAAAAAGAATCGCCAGAAGGAGCGTCGCCTGATGAAGGGCTTCAATATTGCACCGCCGGGCTCGACGAGCTCGTTGGCCCCCGTGGCCGAGTTCTCCACGTCGCTGGATAACTACGATAATCAGCACGAGATACTCAGCTCGACGCTCTCCACGCTCTTCACGCCCAACTTCATGCACAGGCGGCAGAATACCACGGGCGGCATAGTTGGCGCCGAGTCGCCCACCACGCCCACGCAGAGCCCAGCAGCCGCAACGCCCCCCGCAGCTGCCACGAAGTACAATAAGACCACGCTGAAGTATAACAAGCGCATTGCAGGGCACAAGAAGCGCTGGGGTGCGTCTAGTAGAGATCCTCCCAACCCGATCTAACTGATCCACTATGCTTGCAGGCACACTCATTGAAGCCGCCAAGGTGGGCAACATGAGCAAGATGCTGGGACGCTCCAAGTCTGAGGATTCTGTGTGCAACTCCTCGCATGACTCCACACCTGTGCACGATCAGGTGCGCGTCAGCTATGCGCAGAGCTGCGCTCAGCCCACAGTTAGCTACAGGCAGCACGGCGCAGATGCCCCAGCTGTGGGGGCATCGCTGCCCCAGGCCCCGCCGCACACGCATGTGGGCGTAGGCGTGGGCGCGCACTTCTTTCACACAACTACAGGTGCAGCAAATTCGGCCTTGAACTGTATTTGAGTCGAGAGGTAAACAGTCTCTGTATTTGTTCCAGGTCTGACCGCCATTGCGGCGCTGAAGCGCAAACGCAAGAAATTCTCATCAAGCAAAAACATTTGCCCCGTCACCGAGTCCATTGCAGCCGCCAATGCGGCGGAGCTCTTGAACGATAAGGTAGGGTAAGGCAGCTGCCCGAATGCTCGACTCTAAATGGATTTTCTCGCACGCTTTCAGACACTCAAACGCGTGTCCAGCTATCCGGCAGCCACTGCACAGGTCTGCGGCCCGCACAAAGACCCGGCTCAGGTGGTGAAGCCGCGACGGCATGAGCAAACGCAGAGCCAACACGACTCGGTTGAGGCCTCCGCAGAGTTCACTTTATCCATTGATCCATCCAATACGTCGGTCAACTCGCGCGAGCCCCTCATCAGCAGCAGCTGTGTCTCCACCATGGGCACCATTGGCTGAGTGCATAAATATTCAAAAACAAATCAAATAAAGTAAAATAAATAAATTAACAAAAACTTGAGCAAAAGTGAAGAAGTTTTTGCTGCTCAATTTTCATTCATTCACACACAATTGCATTTATATATATATATATATTATATATATCTATGCTTTATGCAGACAAGCCTTCGGATTTGATATGCTACCAATACCAAATATTATTATATATATATATATATATATATATATTGATATATATATGTAACTAACCCATATCGATGTTAAAAGCTGCCTTAGCATTAGAAATAAATCTTAGTATAAGCTAAAGGGGTATACCTGACCTGGGAGATGGCTAAAAAATATACTACAAAAATATATACAAAAATAAAAAAATATAAAAAAATATAAACAAATAATATACATAAATAATAGTTAATAGAAAGGTAAATAAAATAATTCACATATTTATGTGAGACGTTTTTGGAGGCATATTAAATGATTGTACTTGGACCTAGGACTACGAGGTGTTTTTCATGTTTCATACATAAGTGAGATAAATATAGAAAAGTATGAAAGTAAATTATAGCAAATAGCACAATATTTTATACACCGATTTTAACCAAACTCAACAAAAACAATAAACGAATTGCAAAACAGTTAATGATTTTAGCGCCTATGTCCTACAATACCTATAAGTATGATATATTTTGTAGATCCCGTAATAATACTAAAGATTTTTAGATGGTTTTTAGGTAAATGCAAATGTAATTTTGAATTGTATTACGTTGAAACTCACAAATAGTCTTAGATTTAGATTTAAATGCAACTAAAACTAACGGAGATAACGAATTAATTAAACAATGAATAGCAGGAAAATAATAATAATATAACAATAACTGCGATAAGCGAACATCCAGTTAGTTTAAATGTTATACTTAATTTTCTTATAAATATACACACATATACATATACATATACATATATACAAATACAAATACAACTACGAATACGAATACGAATACGAATACAAAATTTACATATCAAACAAAATACGATAACGTCCAACTAACAGCTAATTTACGTTATATATCAGTTAAGATTACTTAAAACCAATTTATGTTTATTGCTTTAGCTAAATATGGTAGAACAACAAAAGTGTTAACAATAAAGAATACAGAATAAAACATTTTAAGTACGCAAGTTAAGTTTTTTTATGCTGAAAATACTTTACTTAAACTAAGTTTTTACTTAATTATCTTTAATTTTTCTGCACTTTATGCTCGTTCATGAACTCAGATGAGTATATTGGCTGCGTGCAAGCCATGTGTTGGTCCATAAACTAGAAACTTCAAGTTTATATTATTACAACTTTTAAGCACTCCACTGAGTGACATGGCAAATCGGGAATATCAGAGGAACACAGAGGGACTTTACGTTATATATCCAGAGTCACAGAAAACGAGGCAAATCTGCTATAGCTTTATAGTGTTAAGACTAGACTAGACTAGACTAGAGACTTGAAATTTTAAATATATTGAATGGTGCAATATCATATCAAAATAGTTCTACGGGCAGCAAAGTGCACTCAGCCTACTTCCTACATCTATCCAAAAAAAAATATAGCCACGTTCACTGTGAGTACGGTAAGTGCGTCTATAACAACTATATCCTTCAATGTTTCAAACTTAGCTGGATCTACTTTAGGCATAGCGCTCTTTGGGTTCGTGGCAAAGATCTACTAACTTTAATCTGTGCATAAATCTTGAATAAGTTTTATTATTTGACAAATTTGGAAATGTTTCCAGGCAGGCGCAAGTTCTTGTGACGTGATGAGATCTTCTGAGTCTTGTTCTTTAGTTTTAGAATTTTTTAGTATATATTGTCTCAGCTGTGTCTGATATTAGCTAAAGACTAGTTAGCACTAGTTCCCAATATATATATATATATATATATATATATACATATATGTATTATCCCCACCATATTAAAAAACCATTAGCAGAATTTTTTTGTATATCGCATTTATTTTATATATAATTATATGTATATATAGAAACATATGCATACACATTTATATATATATATATATATATATACATACACATATTTGTGTACATACTTTTGCAAATAATTATAAATATGCATTATATATATATATACATATATATGCATATATATACATATATACGCCTGTATAATAAACAAATATATATCGACAAATAGTACAATATATAGTGCTAATATAATTATATATATATTGTATATATATATTGTAACCATTTACCGACGTAAACATACATATCTTCAGTATATATTTTGTAATTATTCATTAAATTTCATATTAAACTATGGAAAGAAACGATTATATTAATTTATTTAATTAGAAAAAATAATAATAATTGGAATATAAATCACTTTGCGTTGCATTAGGCTATAAATTTCAAATATTTTTTATCGTATGCTCTAAATAATTTTTATTTATTTATTTTTTATTTTTTATTCATATTTCATATTTCGTATTTTTTAATTTTTTCTCCATTTTTGTGTAAAAAATATATTTATGTATATATTTATATAAGTATATATTTGTTTTGTATTGTGTGTATTTATATAAACGAGCTTTTCTTTGCCTAGCTGGGCTTCTGTTGCCAAATCTTCGCAGCATCCTTAAGGATCGTTGAGACCCAACATATATGTGCCGCCTTTAACACGAGATATAGTTCATGTAAGCTCAGTTATAATTGGATTGGATTGTATGCTACGATATATCTTTTATTTATATATATTTATAGCCGCGCTATGGATTTTCGATTTTGCATTTATAATAATAATAAATTGTGTGTATAATAATTCACATGGAAAGTTAAGAGAATGAAAAAAGCGTCTGTTGTTAAATTGGCTCGAAATGGACAAAGTTTCGAACGCAACAGTTCGGAATGGGCCATGGATCTGATTGCATCCAACTGCATTTTGTTTTTATTTATTTATTTATTTATTTATTTTTTGTTTTGGCTATCCATAACAATTGTGCAGCACTAAAGTTCTTTATGCTTGCATAGTTTCATTAGTTTTCAGATACATATATATATATATATAGTTACATATGCATTTGCCAACACACACAGATATAGTAATGCCCGCTATCAGTTTTATACCACGACAGAGCATAGTCTAATAAATTCATAATTTTCGGTATTCATTGTTTATAACTTCGTTCGAAATATTTATAGTGCATAAACATACACATACATTCATGTTCAACAACAATGCGGTAAACAGTAAAAGAGGCTCTGGTAAAGGTTGTAAGAATTTCTAGGTTAAGCTTAGTTGATTTCGTTCGTTTGTTTGTTTGTTTGTTTGTTTGTTTAGTTGTATGTACATTGAGAGTTGGTTGTTGCACAAAATGCTATAGCACATATGGAGATTTTTGTGTGTAGTATACATATGCTTGTGTGTAATCGATTAAATATGCAGTTAGTCACATACCAATATACATACATACATATATGTATGTGTGTGTGTGTGTGTGTGAAGTTGTAAACAAAGAGTTCTTAAGAATGTTCATTGTAGAGCTATAATATATATAATATTGTTGACGTTGTTTAAGGAATTGTTTGTGAAAGTGTGTGGGATTATTGTTGCCTTCTTACAGATAGAGATTTAGGAGATGTACAGTTGGTTTCATATATATATATACACAGACATAAACATATATAAAAATGATAATAATAATAAGAAGATAGAAATGCGAGTGACTTGCAATCACTTTTTTGAGACACGATTTGTGAGTGGCCAGACGATCGATCGCCGAATCAGCCACAGAGCATGTGCACCAGCATTGCCACCAGGAAGGTGACGAATACGAATGAAACCACAAAGAAGACGGCCTTCTGTTGGTCCGTTAGCCGCTTCCTATTGCAGTAGAGCGCCGTCAGCCTGGAGACGAAGCGTCTGATCGTGCCGCCGTGCGGCATGATGTAGTTACTGCTGTTGCTGCTGCTGCTGCAGCTGTTGCTGTTGCCGACGCCGTTGCCGTTGCTGTTCGCGGAGCCCATGACGCCAGCGCTGGCATGCGGCAAGTGCGCATGATGCATGTGGTGTGAGTGGTGTAGATGGTGCTGGTGGTGCAAGTGATGGGCAGCGCTGCTATTGCCGCGCAGCTGCAAGGTAGACGCAGACGGAGCAGCCAGACCCGTCGAGCCCGCTGGCTCGCCAGGGCACGCCTGATGATGCTGCTGCTGCTGATGATGGTGATGATGATGATGGTGATGATGATGCAGCGGATCGCCACAAGCATTGAAGCTAGCTGCAGCCAGCTCATGTTGCAACCGTCCGATTGCCTGAGCATCAGCTCCAACACCACTATTGCCGCTGATTGCCGAAGCACTCACCGAACGCATGTGCACACTGTTCGCGTCCGAGTGCTTGCGGCTGGAACGCTGCGTCGTCTGACTTGGCACTATGGCCGAGCCGTGCAGATGATGACAGGGCGCTGAGCTGGCGTCCAGCTCTTTGGGCACTTGATAACGCAGTGCCATCGACGTCTGGCCATGGAACAGCTCGCCGCCGCTGGTCACACGCACCGGGCACACGCGAAACTGGTAGCAGGTGCCCGCCACAAGATTGTCTATGGTGAACTTGGTCTCTGGTCCGCGGTACAGCTGTCGGTAATCCAGGTTGCTTAGCGCTACGGGCGCCGCATTACTGCTGCTGGTGCTGCGCGCCTTGGGTGAGTTGGAAGTGTCCGAGTCGGATGAGACAACGGCGTATTGCAGCTCATACTCGACGCGATCGTTGAAACTATTCTTCGAGTGCTGCCACTCGAGAGTCAATTGCACTAGCGGCTGGCTCGCCTGGTCCAGCAGGCAGACGCCTTCGTGCACCACTCGCGGCGCCTTAATATTGGCCGGCAGCGTAGCGCCCGTCTCGAATACATACTCCTCCGAGTACTCGCCGTCGCCGGCGCGATCCGTATGCGCATAGATGCGGAATGTATAGCTGCTGCGCTCCTGCAGTTTGTGTATCTTGCACATGCAGTTCGTGCCCGAGTAGACCGTTTGGAATTGCTTGGCCCTTGCCACATACATCTCCACGTAGTACTTGGTGAAGTCTGCGCTGCTGCCACTGAGTGCGCCTGGCGCAACAGCTGAAGCAGAGCCCGTCTTGCCGCTCTCGCCCCACTTGAGCTTCAAGTAATTGTGTCCAGAGCCGCTGCACTCCAGCCGCGGCGGGGCTGGCGGTGCTGGCTGCGTCGTCAGCTTGACATAGGTGCTAAAGAGTCCACTGCCAATCGCATTTACCGCCTGCACACGGAACTTGTAACTCGTCTCGGGTGTCAGGCCGCCCACCGTATAGCGCGTGCAGGCGTCAGGCGTGGCAATAGTTCGTTCGCCGTACTCAATGTTGTAGTTGCTGATGTCGGCGCCATGTGACGCTGGCTTCGTCCAGTTGAGGGTGACTTCCTGTGCGGTGAACTCGTAGCCCAGCATCTGTGGAGCGCCCGGCACGGCGGCTGGCGTCGCTACGCACACAGCATCCGTTGCGGGCCCAGCACCCGCCGCATTGCTGGCCAGCACGCGCAGGTAGTAGCGTGTGTAGGGCGACAGATTGCGCAGCTCCACCAGAGTCTGTGGGCCTTGGTAACAGCCATGGAACTGCGTGCTGGGCGGCTCAGCCTGCGGCTCATCCAGCTGCTGGCTGGCGCTCTGCAAGCTATAACCACTCACAGCCGAGCCGTTGAGCTGCGTCGGCGGCTTCCAAGTGACGGTCAAATGTGTCGCCGACTTGACCACAACTTCCAGCTCAGTGGGTGCACTGGGCGGTGCTGCGGCAGCCTCAAAGCGCAGCCACTGCGACCAGTTGCCGGCGCCGATGCGATTGATCGCCCTCACTTGTGCCTCGTAGACACCACCCGGCGACAGCTGCTGCGCCACAAAGTAGTCTTGCTTGCCGCGATACACGATTTGCGGCTGTTCTTTTGCGTCGAGGCAACGCAGTTGCGCCTCAAATTCCAGAACAGGTGCGCCGCCATTGTTCTCCGGCTGGGCTAGCCTTAGGAGAGCTGCGTAGGGCGTTGGTGGCGCATCGCAATGGGGCTGTGGCGGCGCGGCTGGTGGCACTGCCTCTGTGGTCACATGCCCGATCTCCGAGAAGGGACTCTGTCCGGCGGGACCCTCGCAGCAGACACGCAACTGATAGGTGATGCCTGGCTGCAGTCGCTCGCACATCGCTTCCGTTTCGCTGCCGGAGTAAATGCGCTCGAAGCTGGGTCCCGCGCTCAGTTCCAGATGATAGCGTAGTATATCCGAGCCGCCGGTGTCGGCTGGCGGCTCCCAGCGCGCCTTGAAGTGTGTGCCGTGTATCTTGCCCTTGGCATGTGGCTTGCCCGGCCGGCCGGGCCGTTCTGCAGCCGTGCTGTAGGTAACCTCCGAGGACCAAGGCGAGACACCAGCATCATTCTCCGTGCGCAAACGGAATTGATAGTTGGTGGCGCGTCGCAGTTGCAGGCACTCATAGCGGGTCTCGCCACCTTTGTAGCTGTTCAGGTAACCGTGTCCGGACTCGGCATCCTGCAATTGCAGCAGAAAGTCGCCGTCCTGCGAACGCCGCTCCCAGACGAGCTGCAGCGAGCTCGCGCTGCACGCTTGCAACTGTGGCGCCATCGGCGCCGTGGGCGGATTGCCAGCTGTGCTGTAGCTGCTCACTTGCGAGTAGGCCGACTGGCCGATCTCATTGACGGCAGCCAAGCGGAAACTGTAGACCGTTGTCGACTGCAGCTTGTTGAGCAGATAATGCTTGGCCTTGATTTTGGCCAGCTCCGTGAACTGCAGCGCATTGCCACGGCCCTCGTCATAGTCCAGCAGATAGTATTGAATGGGCGCGCCATTGGCGGCCGGCGCCGTCCAGCGCAGATTGATGGAGCTCCTTGTGCGCGACACTAGCTTCGGCGGCAGCGGCTGGTCGGGCTCACAGGCCGGCGTCTTGAACTCGGTGGGCTCGCTGACGCTGCCCTGCAGCTGCTGATAGTGCACCTGCAGCCGCACCAAATACTCCTGCCCCGGCTGCAGGTCTTGCACAATGCACTCGTACGCCTCGCCGCGGTACAAGCTCTTGTACTTGCACTGCTTGCCCGTGTCGCTGAGCAGCACTTGGTAGCGCAGATCCCGCACGTTGACCAGCAGCGCGTCCGTAATGGTTGGCGGCACCCAAATGATCTTGGCGGCGCGTGAGCTGACATCGATTACCTCCGGCTTGTCAATGGCCGAGATCTGCTCGACGATCAAGGCCTGGTAGTCCTCCTCATCCTCAGCTGCCACGCTGGACGTGTCCTCGCCGTCCTCGGATGTGCCCACTGAGCTGGCACCGCCCACACTGCTGCGCGTAGCTGCCGCCAGCTGCTGTCCCGCTGCTGCGTTTGCCACGTTGGCAACGTTGCGTTGCTGCTGCAGCTGTGGCTGCGGCTGTTGATGCGCCAAGTGACGTCCACGCACATGGCTGTGCATGTGGTTGTTGTTGTGCTGATGCTGGGCTACTGGAATGTTGTTGTTGTTGTTGCTGCTGTTGCTGTTGTTGTAATGCCCATTGATGTCATTGCGACGGGGAGAGGGCGAGTGCGTGGGCGTGGACATGCTGGAGTCTGGAGAGCAAGGGAATCCGTTTAATTCAATATATTTGCCATAAATAAATCATTATAGTACTCACTCAGCTCACGCTGCTTCTCCAGCTTGCGCAGCAGCTTCGTATGCTGTCGCTGGCTGCGCTCGTCTCTGTAATTGGGTGGCGATGGCGAGTGCGGGGAATGTAGATGCGTCTGTGACGTTGGCGGCGCAGCACCGACGCCGACGCCAGCTGTCGCCGCGGCTTGCTGCTGGGCGCCCGACTGCGGCGGCGGCGGCGGTGGCATATGATAATGCGGCGGCCCATTGCCCGTCGGCCCTGGCCCGGGCGGATAGCCGGGCAGCGGCGTATAGAAATGCGATGTGCCATTGCTGCTAATCTGAAAGCGAATGGCAAACGGCTTAAATAAAGCTGCGAACAGTCAAATTTTACGCAAAATAAATACAAATTCTGTAGTTGTCGACGTGGTCGTTGTTGATTTAATCTTTTGCGGCTTCATTGCACACTGACGCTGCCAGCAGTATCCACGTCAATGAAAAGAAATAACTATAAATAAACCTACGCGAATGTTCTTTTTTTTATTTCTGCTGATAAACAATCGCAAAACTACACAAAAACCACAATCTCATCGCGGGCGAAATTTCTAATCATTGCTAATTGGTTGTTTGACTTATGTCGCTCAAAAATTTTCTAATTATTTTTAACTTTTAATTATTTAGCTGAATTTTATGTTCTTTTTCTATAAATTAAATGATAAACAGTATCTGTTAAAACACTATTAACACGCTGTTATACTCAAGTGAGTCTGCAAAGAATGTTTATAGTAGAATGACAGCTCATGCTCAGCTTGTTGTGCTCAAATACGAGTGCTAGCGAATGCTTGTAATAGGGTAGTAAGTGAAATATGTGTGTGCAAACATAGTTGAGTTAGTCTGAATTTTTTTTAATAGAATGTATACGTCTTTTAATTGTTTATCTTAAACAATGTTTTAACCTCAACAATAGAAACTGTAATGAAACTAACTATCGATAAGCATCTGCCTTTATAAATAACCCATCTGGCAACGCTACTCTGCAAACACTTAACAGTTAAGCAGTGTTTAAACGCTGCGCGCGCATTTGCGGTGCAAAGCGAAAATTTAAATCGTTGTGACAAATTGCTCAATTAGAAGACAAAACAACATTTATGACAAGTCTGACGAAACAATATAATAAACACACATTGCATAAACCGGTTATTCCTGGCAATGCAATTTACAAAAATGCAAACGTTGGCAATTTTTTGGTACAGATCTTTACCACAGTCAGACGGGGGAATACCCTGTAATATGAAAAGCTATATTTCTGTCGATTTAAAGCAAATACTTAGTCACTTAGTTTGACTGCATAGATACACATAAACAAAGATAGTGCAAAATATTTATACTATATATTTTGTTGCAAAATATATAGGATATATAGATATGCTCTGCAGAGGTATAAAAAAGCCATTTGAATTAGCATACAATCAAGTGATAATGATATTGCGCAAATACAACGGAAGCTGGCTTTCGCCTTAGTAAATTTGTTGCTGAAAATTTGGTGGAGAATTCCAAAGTTAAAAAAAAAAACAAAGAAACAAAACTTTGTGCACAGCTGAGTCGAAGGTTAAGCACACTAGAAGGCATATAACTATAGAAAACCGACGGCTAAATACCCCAAGAAGCATATCAAGTACAAAAATTTAGCAAATATCAGTTGGGTTTATAGTCAAACTAATAGAATATGGCTAAAAGCTATCAGCCTACGTAGAGTGCGCTTCCCTTAATAACAGAGTTAATAAATTCTATTTACATTTATTATATATTAAAATATTATTTATGTTGCATTAGTTTTAAATTTTATAAATATCTTTTATTATATTGCGCGCAGAAACTAAAATACCCACGCAAAGAGAGGGTATTCTGAAGCGCCGTCACTTTTATTTCAGCAGCTAAGCGTGACGCTCTTTCTGCTGCTCTACATATGACTCCGGAAGTTGTTGGCGCTGCAATATTTAAGTTTTAGTTTATTATAATGCCACTAGCTGACGGCTGTTGACGGCAGTTACCTATACAATCTAGTTTTGTATCTATGTGGCTATGTATATTTGTATCTATGTGTTTGTATCTGTATCTAGACATATATATTATTATATTATATATATATATTTATCTTTGTATCTATGTAGCGTTGTATCTTTGCATCTGCATCTATCAATATATTAATAAATATAATTATTTATGCCTTTTTCTTTGTAATTGTTTAACTAACAATTAGAAAATCGTTGTATTAAGCCTATAGTTAACTTTAAGCGTATTATAAATTTTCAATTAATAATAACAAATAAATTAGAATTTATTTAAACGAATTCAATGCCAATCACGAATTGAGTTGCTTCCACTTTATATCTCACTAACTCGATGCAAATCAGAATTATTATTCCGATAAGAAAAGTTATCTAATATTATGCTAAATATTTGTTTGTGCTTTTGCTTCATTTAAATTGTATTAATTTAATGGTTTATTATAATACTATTAATAATAAAATATTTAAATGTAGTTTAATATTTCATTGTAATAATATTAATAATAAATATTTAAATGTGATTAAATATAATTTAATATTTTGTTATTTAAATGTAAATTAATATTTCATTATAATAATAAAATATTTAAATGTAATTTAATATTTCATTGTAATAATAAAATATTTAAAAGTAATTTAATATTTCATTGTAATAATAAAATATTCAAATGTAATTTAATATTTCATTATAATAATAAAATATTTAAATATAATTTAATATTTTATTATTTAAATGTAATTTATTTCATTATATATTATTATTATTATATATTATTTCATTATAATAATAAAATATTTAAATGTAATTTAATATTTCATTGTAATAATAAAATATTTAAATGTAATTTAATATTTCATTGTAATAATAAAATATTTAAATGTAATTTAATATTTCATTATAATAATAAAATATTTAAATATAATTTAATATTTTATTATTTAAATGTAATTTATTTCATTATATATTATTATTATTATATATTATTTCATTATAATAATAAAATATTTAAATGTAATTTAACATTTCATTGTAATAATATTAATTATAAATATTTAAATGTGATTTTTTTAAACTTAGTTCCGTTTCGCCTCTCGATCGCTTATCGCTTCGTTTGCACTCGCAATTTTCTATTGTATTATTAATCTGAGCTGCTGCTGCTGCGATTGTTGCATTGACGACACGAAACAGCAAATTAGCAAATGCCTGGGTTAAGCCCGCTGCTTAGTTCCAGGAAAGCCTCAACTGAATCTGGTTTGCGCAATAAAAAAATTTATTACGTACGTAATTTACTCTATACACAATGCAAACAAAGCGAGCATATTCGTGTGAGGCCCTAAGATTCATATACAGCTTGAGATAACATTATTTATCTGCCTGTTTGAACGTAGTCAGAGATCTGAATTATTTCATATTGAAGAGAGCAACAAGTACAGATAACTAGTTACAGGGTATCTATATGCCCATACGCCTTTTCGTATTTCGCATTTCGCTTGAAAATAAAATTTGCATTGGCAATTGTTATTGTTTGTGTTTTGTATTATAATTGGCGCTCAATTAGTAAGAAATTTGATGTTTTTGATAATGAGAGGCGAGAAGCAGCCCAATTGATTGACCAATTGACCAACTGAACAACTGAACAACTGACTGACTGCCGACAGAAGACCTCTACTCAGCCTAGTCAATAAGAGCTGGCTTAAAGCTGCTGCATTTGTTAGCTACAAGTTTGGCTTACAAAATTCCAATAGAAACTTATCAAATTAAAGCATTTCATTGTGGAATTTTGTATATCCATGAGGCCACTTGAGCTGCTAATAGTTGCACACAAATGTTTTATAATTATTGCATTTTTCCCAGTAGAGAAATAGTGTAACTGAGTGCGAATGAGCTTGGAAATTCTAGACTGCATGTAGAGCACTCATTAGAGAAATTTGTATGTGTTGGGAATTCTGCTTCAATTTAATGAACTGCGCTACACTTTGCTGATTCAGTTGTAGTGGATTCGATGAGTTTCGCTAATGAGTGAGTTGTATCTTTTGCTGAATCAGTGAACGAGTTGAGCATTTTGGGTCAATGGCAGTCGCTCTGGCCAGCCTTTGGGTAACTTAATCAAATGCAAACACCTGAATGGGTACTTAAAATTATTGTTACTTACGAATGGCGCTGCATGCAGATGTCCCTGGCCGGTGTGCAGCTGCTGGTATTGCTGCGGTGGCAGCACCACATGCGTCAAGGTTCCGTTCTCATTCACATAAGGCGGCACCTGCACCGGCATCGTCATCGTCGGCGGCTGCCGGTTGTGGGAGACCATTTGAACGGCCGTTGGACCTATAAAGATAGCACGAAGGAAAGTAAAGGTTTAGTGCACAATCAAACCGGGCTCCAAGGCTGTGCAGTGCGTTAAGGATATCGTTAATGAAGCAAGTCCATCGTCATCGGAAAAGTGCTTTAAAACTTTTACGCGCTAATCTGCTTTAGCTCTGTCGTTCCACATTATGGCAAATAAATTCTTAAATAACTTTGCACTTTTCTTATGAATATTTGAGTACTTAATCAGGAACTTATAGCTATAAGCAAGAATAAGGGAATTGTTCTAAGAGTCTTAGAGAGAGTTAAATTTAAATCTTATATTGCTGCATTAATTTCTTGCATTGTTTAACTGCTCAGCATATAAATATTCGTAGAGCTCGGGCTCTGACCTAATCAGCCGTAAAAAGCAGACGCGCATAGCCAGCCGTACTTCAACTGCGACTCCATTACACGTTTGCCTCCACCACTTAGGTGTAAAAATGTCGGTTTAGTGCGTTGAGGCATGCCGTTGCAAAGTAAAATTCATGATAGTCGATAACGACTGCGACGGCGACTGCAACTGCTCAAAATGCAATCCATTTAAAATGCAGCGAATGTCTGTCTGAATGTTTATCTTAGTGAAGAAAGTGCACGACTTGAATATACTCTGACCACACAGACAACAGAGAGTCGCGTAGATATATAAAAATATTTCTAGAGAAAGCTTTTTGATTAAACATCCTAATAATATATGAATCACTTAAACAGAAATTTATTTATGAATGAGTTTGTTTTTTTTGAAATTGGTTGGTGAGAAGTTGTAATATTTTGGGGTTTTTTTTTTGTGAATTGCGCCTTAACCCACATACACCATTTATTGACTCTAAATATCCGCTTGGAAGAGACAGCGATTTATGGTTTCTTTGCACAAGCTATTATACCCATTTCTTTATAGAGAAAAGGGTAGAAAAATTGCCAAAAATTATGATTTCTAATTTAGATATATATATAGACTGATAGATATTATATTTATATATATGCCAGCATTACAAATATGCCCTCAGCAAGAGTATAAAAGCTGACTAGACACATTGAAAGTGTTAAAAAGCAGCAGGGGTTTGTGTAGCGGGGATTGGGAATCGGGAATTTCCGTTGCGGGTGGAGACGCGGTGGAGCTTACCATTTGGCCAGCAGACAGTAAAATGCCAGCCCGAGCGGAGTGTTTGCAACTAAACTGAAACTTAATTAATGCTAAACAGCTTAACGGCGCACCAAGCTGCCTGGCCGTATAACGTTGGTATTCATTTGGCAAGCAAATCTTGCAAGGTAGTTAATTAAAGGGAACTAAACCCGTCTTCGCACCCACATACTTGCGCAGGTAACACAATCCCGAACTTAGTGACAGGTGTGCTTTTGTCTTTTATAATAATATTTTAAATACTAAAATTGAAATTGTTAATTCGAGAGGCATTGCAAGTTCTAGTTAAACGCATTGATATTAAGTAATTGCAAAAAGTATTTCATGACAAATGCGGAAACAAGTTTAATATTTCGTTATCAACTGTACAAATGCAGCTGTGCACGGATTCCCCTCGTATAAAGTTTGGCTTGCCCTCCGCTGGCAGCTGGCATGCCTTTGCGCTGAGTCGCAAAACATCTGCAAAGCTCAATTATTCCAAATCATTGGCAATGAAATCATGGCTTGAGCAATTGCCAAAACTAATTTTAAAGTCTATAGACACTGAGGTACTGAAGTACTTGATTCTCTTAATCTCTATGACCACGACTCGGAATATTTGTCGGCTTTTATTGATGTAAACTAAATATACTTTACACTATCAAAAGAAGTAGATAGCTATCTATACTCACTGCGCCCTTTGCACTAAGTCATTGGCCCAACTGTTAGTAAATAAAGTTAGTTTAATTAATGATTAGTTAGTTGCCACGATATACCCTGGCTATAGGCAACAGCCTTGTTTAATGAATCATCAAACCAATTTTTAGCGTAAATATTTTCAAATAAGTTTAGCTCCGGGGCATAGGTTAAACATTCATTAACAACACTTGCCTATTTATTTATTTATTTAAGTCAATATTAAGCTTGAGTGAAATTCACTAAAACTAAATTTTAAGTGAGCTCACTTTATGAGTCACAGCACTGCATGAGTAGCTGTCACAGTAGAAGCTACTGTGTTTGACTTAAAGAGGAAGAAGTTCCAATCGGCAAGCTAGACATATGTACATATCTATATCTAGATTATATATATATGTATAAATATATATATATATATATTATTCAAACGACAGGAGCTTATCTTCTTGAACTCTGTTTCTGTTGCATGAAAAAGAGTTAAGCTCTCTACTGCTTTCGTTTCCTTACTGAAATATGTATTTTTTTAATTATAATTTTCTACATTTTTTTTTTAAATTTACATAATTTTCATATATTTTAAATTAAATAAAATATGCATTTTTTCTTATTGTTATAATGTTGTAATTATTTCCTCTTCTCCCCAACTCTCAACATCGATTCTTATCGATATTTAATAAATTACGATGACATATTTGGACCAATTTCCTATAAGATCACGCCGGACAGGTCCACTCATGCAGCAATTGAGGCAGTGGCAAAAACAGATGCACAGCTTCATATTATTCAACTGGCTCTGTTTGGCAGGATTTAAGTTTCGCTGATGACTTAATCGACTTTTACAGCTTGGTGTATGCATTCGCGTAAACATTGTTGCCACTTCTTGCATGCAACTGAGTTGCAAGCAGATCAGCAACTTGCGTGCAATATAAATTAATGGGTTTTGCCTACCAAAAACTTGTCAAGTTTAATGACGATGATTGCTGCTCTCTCTCTCTCTCTCCCTCTCTCCCCCTCTCTATCTTTGCATGCAAAGTACTCTAAGGAGCTGTTACAATCTAAATTGCAGCTGCCATTTTGATAACGTATATCTTGAGACGTATATGCATATAACTGTTTGACAGCATACTAAATCCTATGAGCAGTGACATCATCATCATCATCTCCGTTCGAGTGTAGTTCTATCCACACCCATGATCAGAGCCAGATATGGCCTCACCCTGACCTCGTTAAGTTGCCGCATTTGCGAGTGCCCATAAAAAGTTGAAAGATTTGCAGGCAACACAGGCGTCTGCTTGCCAACTCTAAAGATGTGCGGTCAGGAAATGGGATTGAGTTGCCCGAGTTGCCTGCGTTGCCTGAGGTGTCCCCACACAACGCTGTGATTGCATAACTGTAAAAAAGTTGAACGTTTGTCTGTCTGACCTTGTCCCGTGCACCACAGCCAGCCGCACGCCTTTGCATTGGAAAGGTAGCAGAGCAGCCAGCAGCCAGCAGCCAGCAGCTCTTGCCACACAGATATAGTACTACGGCCATTTCGAATGGCATTCAAAAGTTTTGCCAGCAATCGCTAATTGAAAGCGCTCTTGAGTTTTCCACTTGCACTTGCACTTACACTTGGCTACACTTCGAGTGCGACTAAATTCATTCACATTATTTTAGCGTCGTTTACCTGGAGGCAACAGCAAACACAAGATACGAGAATTAAAACTCTCAAGTCCTCAATGATGTTAGAAGGAATGATGTGAAAATCGATACTCAGTTGAGTTTCCATGAATACAGCTTTGGTTCCATGGAATATTTTTCCAAAATTCCATTAGCAAAAATATTTCGTTTATGAAATCTGTCGTAAACTAAACAAATTTCCAAAAATTTCCAAGTAAAGTCTATGCTTTTAGCCTTAGATCTGCATGCCATTTGTCGTTCTTTGTTCTGTGATTTCCAGACAAATATGAATTGAAGACATAAATAAACCTTTAGTTGTTGCTCGCTTATTAAGACAACTTTTTGTCGCTCTTTAGTGTAGCAAAATTATGAAAATCCATTCATATTATCATATATATTTTTATTGATAAATGTTCAAAGATTAGCAAAATTTCTTAAGCATCCATTTCTGTTCCGACAGTTGAGCCTTACCATATGCGAAAGATAAAAAGCTGTCATAAATAGCTTAAGACTGTTTTCAAATTAATTACAAATTCCCAACTCAACAATGACAAATTTTGTTATATGTGTGTGACACTGAGCTAAAAAAGTGTACTTATTAAGAGCACTTGTTTGAGTTTTAACTTTTGTGTCGAATATTTTTTATTTAAGTCTAAAGTGGTACACCTGTAAGCTGCATATGCAAGGTAAGTTAAAGATGGAAGTAGCTTTTTTCTTAAAAAAATCATTAAGCGACAGTATAGCTTAGGCTTCGATAAGTCGCTTTCAAAGCTTAATCATATTGTATATGCCATATTTTAGTGGTTAGAAAAAGCAAATCATCAGCAGCGACAAAGCCAAAAAAAAAAGAAAAAAAATCAATTGAAGCATATATAACATGCAACACATACATAGATATATATATATATACATATATATCTCTAGTATGTAGAACTGCGAATATAGAGAATTAAGAGAATGGCACTCAGCTTGTCAGCGGGCTGAAGTAGGATATGAACTGTATTCTGCTAAGTGTAAGAGAGGCAGAGCGAGCGAGATAAAAGTTGGTACAGTTACAATTTTTAATGCACGTTGCATGTGTGTTGCCACTTCCTACGGCCCCGTTCGTCATCCCTTCAAACAGTCATCGCTCCACAGCCGTACCGCCCCGCCCCGCCCCGCCCCGCTTATCTTAAGTAAGTTCTGTTGTTTGATGCCAATTTTTTGCATTGCTTCTCCTTTTTTGTCGGTTGTTGAACCCGCTTGGGCGCTAGGGCCATAAGTGGCCCTAGCCAAGAGTACCAGCAGTGACAACAACAACAACAGCAGCAGCAGCAGCAACAACAATGAGCAGAGTAACAGAAAATAAATGAAAACTGCGCTGCCATTCCGGCTGCAGTTTTTTCCACCAGAGTCAAGAGAAATACGACGAAATAAATAAAATGCGTTCAAAAGACACATAAAATATGTTCAAATAATAAGCACACACACACGCACTTACACACACACACACAGCAGTTAGTTGCTGGGCGCCATTTTTATATGTACATGTGCATGTATGTGTGTGTGTGTGTGTGTGCATCTACATATATAGCTTGAGATTTATGCTTGCATAATTTAAATGTTGTCAACTAATATTGTTTAATTTCCAAGTTTGTAGACTATTTTATGTGTTGTCTCTGCCCATTTTTGGCTCCAGCACATTTGCCGAACGTATTCAAAGACTATTAAAAAAAAACCAAAAAAAAAACACAAAGACACAGAATTCGCAACACGTGGAATGCTGGCCAAAGGTAAGCCACAGCTTTGCAGCGGCCGCCTGTCTAGGTTATTCACGCGTCTGGCGACAAGGTCACATCCAGCTAAGCGAGATACACGAAAATACCGTCAACAGCTCAGCTAAAGAATTGGCCAAAACAAAATACCTTTAACACCTGCCTAAGCACTTGTTGCGCTCGTTCACGAATTTAAAGCAATTTAAGGATTTCATTCACAGTGAAATTCGATTTATATATGAAGATAAATATAAAGATACAAAAATTATAGAGACTTTAGAGTACTCTAGGGGTGAGTGACTGACTAGAAGAATACCTCAACTCGATGCAGAGCAGATGAATGATAATAATAGGAAGCAGCTAACACATAATATAAATAAAATGCGTGCAATATATATAAATGAGAGCTTGAGGTCTTATAGCTTTGAAGAATTGCGTGTTCATATGGAAAACAGGTGCACAAGGCTTGAACAAATTTATATATTTAAAAACTTTTATAGAGAATAAATAAATATTTTGCGTACAACGTAGTTAGTCGTCTTGATCGAGTGACTAAATTAAATTAGGCTTTAAACTTAATAAATTTATAAAGGATCAGCTTAAAGACTAAATAAAATAGATTAAAGCCTAGCTTTTAATGGAATTACATTCCTATTAATCGTGGCTACTATAAGCCACAAATACGAACGACTAGATATTTGCTTAAATAAATGCAAATCTTTATTATTTATGATTATTAGACATACTAAATTAGATTGCTTCCTAGTATAAGATTAAATAAGACAGATTTCTTGCTCATGCTAGAACATTAAATGAAATAAATAAATATATATATATATATATATATATATATATATATATATATATATATATATATATATATATATATATATATATATATATATATATTCATATATATATATATATATATAAATATTCATATATATTCACTTATGTACAGTATAAAGCAATTAAATCTGTACATATAATATGTATCTAGAGACGTATGGATAGGTAGCTAAATGTCGGCATTGCTGATTGTTCAAGAACTGGTTGGGCACTCACGATGACATTTTCGTGCTTTAAGAGCCCTCATAAATTTGAGCTGAAGAAAAAACTTGTTTTGCTTGAAGAGCAGATCCATATGCAAATAGCATCAGAAATGCTCAAGCGTGAGTCAGAGGCAGCGAGAAATCAACTGTTTCAGTAAGAGATAGACAGAGGGAGAGAGCGAGCAAGTCGAGCAAGTGCTTAGAGAAATAATTATCATACAGTTAATTACAAAATTACAAAGGTCAGGGCTCGCTAGACCAAAAGTGGCTAAGGGCAGGTCGCGTTTAGGTTGCACATGCTTGAGACCTTTAATTAAGTTATTTACAGTCATGTTTTAGGTAATGTTAATGTCATTATAAAATAGTTTGTTCACTAACCTCATAAATACCCCATAAATTCCACTGGTATTTCAATGAAATTTGATGTGAGTTTTAGATGGAATCTTGAGCATATATAAGGGAATCAGTTAAGCATTATATATATTATATAATAGTGAATCGGTATCTATTATAGATTATAGTGCAGTAGAGTCTTCAGTTGTTGTTTCTACTGCAATATTATTAAATCCTTTCTAGTAATATCTAATATATCCATGAGTACATATCTCTTAGAGCTAGAGTGAACTAGTTACTTGGCATTTAGCACAATGAGAAGTTCACTGTTGATAAGAGCAGTGGCTGCTCTGGACTATGTGGGCATGTAAAGTATAAACTACGCCAATTCAATTTAGAGATGCCTGCCTCGAAAAATGTGTTCCACTGCTTCGCACAAAGCGGCAATCTCGGCTAGCACTTTTTGAGGAAGTGGGTCATAAAAGCATGCTCAGCATTCTTATAATTATAGCTTGCTATGCATACGCCATGGCGAGGGCGACCGCGCCCCGGGAGCAAATTCCATTAGAAGTCTAGCCTGAGTCCAACACGCACTTAGTGCCATTTCCTTTGCAAGTTTATTCGATTAACTACAATCAGTGCAGAGCCGGAGGGGGAGAGTGGCGAAAACATTGTTGTAACACAAACAGAGTTGGGGCTGGGGTTGGGGTTGGGGTTGGGATTGGTAAGTGTGGGGTGGCCCAGGCATGGCCAGTCATGTAATTGGAAATTATGGCCTTTAATGAAAGCATATACTTTAGATTCTATTGCCACATGGCTCTTGGCACCTTGGCACGTTGGCAACGTGTGAGTGAAGAGAACATGTGAGTAGACAGCAGTCCAAGCACATGCAATTACCACTTTAGGCTAAAAAGCAACTGTCTCCACAAAGTTTGTTGATGGAAACCTAATTCAATTTGCCAATTAGCCCATAAGTTTTAGTTTGCGTATGCCACAGGCCTCAAGGTGTCCTTAAAGATGCCTGAGATACTCAAGCTGAATCAATTAAAGATCTCTGTTCGGTAAAGATAAGGCTAGAGCAGATCCAGTTTAATTACGTTATACGAATATTTATCTACTTCATGTAACTCATGTTTAATTAAGTCAACTGTGAGTCAGCTTGTGACATTTTTTTTGTGTTTTTTACAGAGCGTTACTATTTAGATAAGTCACATACAAGCAACACGTCTATACAGGGTGTTCCATTTGTGATAGAAGCAGATGTGTTGGATTATATTATGAGCTTATTATAGCTATATTATGAACTTTAAATTAAACTTTTAAGCTTTTAACATGGTTTTTAAATTCTTGCAAATATTTTGCTATCCAAATATTTTTTACAATTTATCGTAATCATTTACTATTTTTATTTTATTATAATATTTTTCGCGCTCATTTAGCGCAATTATATGTTATTGAGAGTGACTAAAAAAGTGTATCAAAATTATAAATTATGATTGACTTTTTAACGATGCCTGCTAAGTTAACTAGTCACTAGCCAGCTCTAGTCACTTTTCACTTATATTCTTATATTTTCTTCTAGTCCAGACACCCTGTTTGCCTCTAGATTAATTCGCTCGCGTTTATTGTGTGGGCGTATCTTGTCAAGCCAGTAGCCACTTTTTACTGATACTATAAGTTTGCGTTGGCTGCAGTTTGTGTTTGGCTTTGGCTTGTTTTTCATTTTCAATTTTCAATTGTAAGTGCGAAACTAATCTTTCTAGTCTTTCGGCAGAAAGTTGCCGCAGCTTAAGTGGGCTTCGGGCATAGTTTCTAGACTCATCGTTGATTTTGAAAATAATTAACCACAGCCAGCTGTAAAGGGTCTTAATAAACTTTCGTGACGTGGTGAGACGGCTGCTGGGATTACGACGGCTGTAATTAGCAGCCCACAGCCGAAGGAATTTTCGTTGGTTTAACTCACCATATTCCGCCGAGATGGCGCACATGGGCTGATGATGATGCTGATGCTGATGCTGATGCTGATGCTGGTGTTGATGCGCGTGCGGATGGTGTGGATGCTGTGGACAGATGCCCTCGTGCGGGTGCGGCGCTATGTAGTATTCCGATGGAAAGAAATCGCCTGGGTATTGAATGTAGAGCGGGCCGGGGGGCAGCGCGGCTTGAACTGGCGGCCCGATGCCGTTGGTGCCATTGCTGGCGCCACTTCCCTGGCTGCCACCGACGCCGCTATTGCTTGACACGCTGCTAACGCTGCTGGCCGAAGAGTCACCCGAGCTGCCATTAGGCGAGATGCCACCGTGTCCATTCTCATGGGTCTGCTGTTGCTGCTGTTGATGCGTGGCTGAAGGGTTCGGTGGCCCATGATGTATGCCATTGTTAGGCGGCGGCGGCGGCTGCAGCATATGATGATGATGTTGCATAGCTGCCAGCAGAGCCAGCTGCTGCTGATGCTGCTGCTGCTGCTGCGGATGATGTAACGCACACACTGGTGGCACAATTTGGGCACCCTGTGGCGGTGTCGCCGTTTGCTGCAGCAATGGCGGCGACGACGGCAGCGAACAATTGTTTGAACTGCCGTCCGAGGACGAGTGCTGCTGCGGCTGCTGCTGCTGTTGCTGCTGCTGTTGCTGCTGCTGCAACTGAACCGTTGGCGCCACCAGCTGTGGTGCCGCTTGCGGTGCCGAGACCGGTGTATTCTGCACCATTACGATATTAGCAACTGGCGAAGCGGACTTCAATGAGCTATTCAGGCTCGTCGTGGACGATGTTGCGGATGAGTATCTGCCCGCATTGTGGCTGCTGACGTTGTTGTGAGTTGAGTTACTGCTGCTGCTGCCGCTGCCGTTGCTGCTGCTGCTGCTGCTGCTATCGTTTATGTTACTGCTACTTTGTTGCTCGATAACATTAAGCCGCACCATACTAGGAGCTTTAGTATCTGCAACAGTTTCTCTCTTCCGTCTGCTTGTTCGGCGCACTTTAACAGTTTAGATTCAATTTATTAGAACATGCTTTTCAGACATGGCCTAAACAATGCTTGTTAGCCGTTTAGCTTTATCTGCAATAAAACATTGTAAGAAAATGGCAAAAGGGTTTGGCTACAATTAATAACTGACTACAAAGCTTCACTCGGCTTTACGTTTTTGCGTTTGCTGCTTCTGTGCGAGGCGTTATTGAGAGTTAACTGATTCGAGTAGAAATCTGAGTTCGATGGAAACAATTTTTTTCAAATCAATTTATGCTGAGAACACAATAGGAGCTATACTCTTTAAGATGTTCAATATGTGGCATATCCAGTTCCATAAAACGCTAATAATATTAATTCAAGACGAGTTTCTTTGATTTTAAGTCAATTAAATTTTTTTAATAAAAGAGCAAGTTTTAGAAATGATCTCGTTAAAAAGTATTATTATATAAAGAATTGTTGCGCTTTTAATATGATACAAAATATATAATTTAAGTCATTTTCAAAATATCAATTACAAAATATCTGCAAATCTTATCTTAAATATATTTATATAATATATATATAATATTTATATAATTTTTATTAATTATATTATATATGAATATATATATATTACATCTATTCGTATTCAACTTCTTTTCAAGCCCAACAAATGCAAAGGATCCAAGAAAAACTTTTGTAGGCAATGGAAAAGTTTCGATTTTTTCAGCAGCAAAGTTTTCTTTGTTACGTCCAAGGTCTAAATATGTTTATTGTAGCACGAACAGCTTAACGGTTCTTTGCAAAAACTGAACCTTCGCAATCAATAAATAAATATTTAAAATAATTACGAAAATTTCCCCCAATGGTAAGAAACTCATGAATTCAGTTTAAGATTCGTTGATAAAAACTTTGCCCAGCCAAGACGAGGTAAGGCCCTCTGTAGTATATGAACTTTGTACAGTCTGAGTTGACTTTTTGACTGCTTTCTATACCAATAAAAGGTATTTTAATCTTTTTGTTTTGGATTGCAACATTGCATTGCATTGCCTTTCCTGGGATTCCCCACTCAACCTCTTTTTGTCTGTGGCGAAATGTGATGCCTTTGTTGTGTGATGGTGGCAACTGCAACCACTAAATAGTCTCTTACTTTGTTGTTGTTGTATGTTTTTGTTTTTATTTTTATTTTGCTGTTAATGCAGCTTTTATTTAATGGGCTTCTTTTGTATATTTCGTACATTCTATCCTGTTCTTGCATTTATCGCACCTTCCAAAGTGTTGGGGCAGTTTTTCGACAGAGGTGTTGGTCATTTGGTATTGTATAACCAGGTGTACAGTTCATTGAACCATCTCAAAAGCCATCTAATTTGCACTGGCGGACATATGTTGGTATTGTAAGAAATTCGATTACGTTAAATAGCGTAATTTCTTAGTCATCAGTCATCAGTCATTAGTCATCAGTCCAGTCATCAGTCATCAGTCATCAGTATCAGTCATCAGTCATCAGTCATCAGTCATCAGTCATCAGTCATCAGTCATCAGTCATCAGTCATCAGTCATCAGTCATCAGTCATCAGTCATCAGTCATCAGTCATCAGTCATCAGTCATCAGTCATCAGTCATCAGTCATCAGTCATCAGTCATCAGTCATCAGTCATCAGTCATCAGTCATCAGTCATCAGTCATCAGTCATCAGTCATCAGTCATCAGTCATCAGTCATCAGTCATCAGTCATCAGTCATCAGTCATCAGTCATCAGTCATCAGTCATCAGTCATCAGTCATCAGTCATCAGTCATCAGTCATCAGTCATCAGTCATCAGTCATCAGTCATCAGTCATCAGTCATCAGTCATCAGTCATCAGTCATCAGTCATCAGTCATCAGTCATCAGTCATCAGTCATCAGTCATCAGTCATCAGTCATCAGTCATCAGTCATCAGTCATCAGTCATCAGTCATCAGTCATCAGTCATCAGTCATCAGTCATCAGTCATCAGTCATCAGTCATCAGTCATCAGTCATCAGTCATCAGTCATCAGTCATCAGTCATCAGTCATCAGTCATCAGTCATCAGTCATCAGTCATCAGTCATCAGTCATCAGTCATCAGTCATCAGTCATCAGTCATCAGTCATCAGTCATCAGTCATCAGTCATCAGTCATCAGTCATCAGTCATCAGTCATCAGTCATCATCAGTCATCAGTCATCAGTCATCAGTCATCAGTCATCAGTCATCAGTCATCAGTCATCAGTCATCAGTCATCAGTCATCAGTCATCAGTCATCAGTCATCAGTCATCAGTCATCAGTCATCAGTCATCAGTCATCAGTCATCAGTCATCAGTCATCAGTCATCAGTCATCAGTCATCAGTCATCAGTCATCAGTCATCAGTCATCAGTCATCAGTCATCAGTCATCAGTCATCAGTCATCAGTCATCAGTCATCAGTCATCAGTCATCAGTCATCAGTCATCAGTCATCAGTCATCAGTCATCAGTCATCAGTCATCAGTCTCAGTCATCAGTCATCAGTCATCAGTCATCAGTATCAGTTCCTCAGTCATCAGTTCATCAGTCATCAAGTCATCAGTCATAACAGTCATCAGTCATCACCATCAGCATCAGTCATAGTCATCAGTCATCAGTCATCAGTCATCAGTCATCAGTCATCAGTCATCAGTCATCAGTCATCAGTCATCAGTCATCAGTCATCAGTCATCAGTCATCAGTCATCAGTCATCAGTCATCAGTCATCAGTCATCAGTCATCAGTCATCAGTCATCAGTCATCAGTCATCAGTCATCAGTCATCAGTCATCAGTCATCAGTCATCAGTCATCAGTCATCAGTCATCAGTCATCAGTCATCAGTCATCAGTCATCAGTCATCAGTCATCAGTCATCAGTCATCAGTCATCAGTCATCAGTCATCAGTCATCAGTCATCAGTCATCAGTCATCAGTCATCAGTCATCAGTCATCAGTCATCAGTCATCAGTCATCAGTCATCAGTCATCAGTCATCAGTCATCAGTCATCAGTCATCAGTCATCATCATCAGTCACAGTCATCAGCATCAGTCATCAGTCATCAGTCATCAGTCATCAGTCATCAGTCATCAGTCATCAGTCATCAGTCATCATTCATCAGTCATCAGTCATCAGCCATCAGTCATCAGTCATCAGTCATCCAGTCATCAGTCATCAGTCATCAGTCATCAGTCAATCAGTCATCAGTCATCAGTCATCAGTCATCAGTCATCGTCATCAGTCATCAGTCATCAGTCTCAGTCATCAGTCATCAGTCATCAGTCATCAGTCATCACCCATCAGTCATCAGATTAGTCCCATTTGTTGACATAGTGCGTCTGCTGCAACGCCTGCCCGAGCCCGCGACATCTGCGACAATCTGCGACACAAAAATGAGGGGAAACGCTTCCACCTGTCTCAATATGTGCTCTTACGACTGTCTCAAGTGCTTCACACCTACTAACGTTCCAGACAATGGGCAACACGCACCGTCGCGACGTCAGCAATGACACCCCCACGTCTCCACGTTGACAACTCCACGCGGAAATTTACGCAGCTTAGCAATCGCCTTCTGTTTTCTATTAAATGCCAGACACTGCACCGTCTGGAAGAGACACCCAGAGAGACCTGCTGAGACCCTGGCGCATTTGTGTCAGAAGTGTCTAGACCAGCTCTTAAGTGGAAACGTAAGCGGCCAAATGAGGGGTGTGTCTCTCGTGTCATGCCACATGCCCACACCTAAAACGCCTTGAAAACTTCGCCCGTTTCGACTGTAGCCAGTCAGCGACTCGGTATATATATTATCAAAAATCGAAAGAATCAATAACCCGTATCCGTTTTCAGCTTTAGCCTGAGCCATTGTCTAATTTATTCATGCTGTTTGGCTATTAATTTCGTATGAAATATTTAAAGTTTTGCAGATGAAACTTGTGGCTCTGTGAAAGCTTCCCTAAATGTGAAATTAAGGCGTAGAAGGCGTTGTAAAGGTGAGTTGTAAGAGAAATATTTTACTCGATCAAGTCAAGTTCGATAAACAATTCAACTTAGGTTTAGAACAAGAAACAAGAGCTATTATTATTATATTTGCATTCAAATCAAAATTGTTGTGGGAAATTGTATTAATTTCCTTTTCACCTTAAGTTAACAAATCGAGTTCAATATTCGAGGAACCTTTTTAAGCCAGCTAAAAAGGTCAAAGTACTAAAAAAAGTAAGAAAATAGAATAGAAAGCTTCTATTGTTGCAGCCTAATAATTAGGTCACTTAACGCTGAGCCGTCTTCAATATATTCAGTCGAGTATTGGCTTAAATTTGCTTTGTAATCAATCTGGAATTTCGCTTGATGTTTTCTTATTTATTTGTGTACCTGTAAAAATCGAATATTTTTGAGCTGTGGCCACCGCAGACTGTTGGAGCCAAAGTGAGGCATCAACCGCAGCAACTGCAGCCACAGCCAGAGGCAATTTTCTAACGGCAAATTTCTAACATTTACCTAGTTACCGTTAATAGACATGTTGGCCAAGTTGAGTGAGAGCCGACGCGACCAAGACATAAATAAGTACTAAGAAAAAGAAGCAGCGATGGAGCTAGCTAGATAGAGTCGAGAGCGTGCGAGAGAGCAAACGAGAGTGCCACACAGTTGATGATGATGATGAAGATGCTGAAGATGTTGAAGATGTTGAAGATGATGAAGTCGATGATGGCGCACATTTCACAGCTTTCTTTGCGCTGCACTTGAGTACATCAGCTGCGACGACAAGCGAAGTCTCTAGAAATTGCCAACGTGCCACGACTGCAACTGCAACTGCCGCTGCCGCTGCCACTGGCACTGCAAATGTTTGTCTGTCATTGTGCTCGTTTTAGTTCAGCAAGTTGGCGGAGAGGGCAGACGCAGTCTTTGGTTAAATGTTTTTGTTTTGTTTTTTTGCTCAACTCTATTAACCGATCAATAATTTGCGGTTTCACACTGGCAACAAGTCGTCGCACTCAGTCAGTCAGTCAGTCCGTCAGTCCGTCAGTTAAATGCAACATCTTGCAGCATTGCAACAATCAAAGTTAATTGCATAAGCCACCCATCGGCAAGTCTCAATAGTTGTTATTTTGATAAAATTACAATTTTCTATATAGCAGTTCCATCTTCTCTACTCCATTTCCACGCTCAAGCGAGAGCAACTTATCTAAATAGTTAATATCTGTTTTGGCATTTCTGGTTATTGTTCAGGCGTTTGTCGGTTGCATAATCCAGCTTTTGGCACATAACAATGCAAAAACAAAAACGAAAAAAAAAAACTTTGTGGCTAATTACAGAGCTATTGCATAAGCCCATTCAACAACTGTTGTATGTTTATATTAAAACAAAAAAAAAGGAAAATTAGTTAGCAAATGAATGTGCTGCGATCAGGTTAATGCACTAACAATGGGCTCATGTCGCTGTTGTTTCGATTCAGCTCTATTAAAATGTCCAAAAGGCAAGCTGCACTTTGGTTTATATTTAATGTGTACTCAATAATGTATATTTAATTTTTATTTATTTTTTATTTATTTTTTATTTATTTTATTTTGTTTTGAGATATTTAATTACTATTTTATTTAGCTGTATCAGGTTTTTCATAGCTATGTATAGCAGAATTCAGTTAATTTGTTATCGAGTGATTTTGATAGCGTCTCTTGAAATATGGGTTTGACTTAAGTTGAGTGTGGCAAGAAGGGAAATGGGAGCAGTAAATTCCAAAGACAATATCTCGATGACAAGAAAAGTCTATCGTCTAGATAACATAATAAATCTTTTTTGAAAAGTATGTATCTTGACCTTACAACATCTCAAATGTACCAAAAATTTCATTTCCTGCACTTTTAGTTGGGCAACTCTTGAAGCTCTGCAGAAACAAAGCAATTCTAGTTTCAATTTCTGATATAAAACTTCAATAAATGTTGACTTATGAGTACAAAATTCTTCTTTTAAGCATCTCAATTTCTGCTGTGCAGTACACAGTTAAAATCAATTCAAATTGATGAGAAAATATCTCAAATAGTTTACGTAAAATCTTAATAAACATATTCACTTTGTTTATAGCTTCAATGGCAACTAAAAATTCATAGAACATTAATAATTATGAAATCATATTAATAAACAAATTAAAATTAAAGCAATATGCCAAAAGCTATTATAATGTACCAGAAAATGTTGTTTAAAAATAAATTTTTATTAATATTATGAGATGGGAGAGCATATGAAAAGCAAAAAGATGTAGACTTGCATAAGATATACAAGATGAAATATCTAAAGTATCAAATCTTTAGATTTATTATTTATTATTATATGATTTATCAAGACTCTTTTGATTTTATAACGATTCCATTTAGCACTTCATATGTCACTCACAAGGTTAGTTGCCTTCTTCACAGAGCTTAGCCAAGGAAACACAAATAGATCAATGTAAGTTCTTTGACTCCTTGACAGCAAACGGATACAAAAGTTAGGCCACAGTGCGAAGAGGTCATAAAATCTAAGATGTATTTCGACAACAACAAGAAACTTATCACATAAATGCAGCAATTATGCTGTTGAGAGCAGACAAAGCCTTAAATGTCGCAAAATACAATGGAACCAAAGGAACTCTTTGATTAAGATGAGTTCTGTAACGAGTCCAGTCAAGCCTTAGGACATCGTGAGAGTCTTGTCAACAGCATATTATGATAATTAATATTCCTGTTAACCAATTGCTATGATTATTACGCAGACATCATTTATCCTACAATGATTAAGGATTAGGACTTACATCATTTTCGGTCGCAGTGAATTATAAACTCAGAGCACGCAGTTCATATCAAATGAACATTGCGAGTGCGTGATGTTTGTCTTAATATAAAAATGATAAGTAAGCATTAGGCAAAGTCGTTGACATTTAATAGAAATGACTACATAAAGCATTTCAATGCTGGCTCGACTGATTCGAGATCAACTTCGAGTTGAGTTGAGTTGTGTAAATAAATATAATTCTATTAAATTATATTAAATATAAAGTTCAAAGATATAAAGTTAAGAATTCACCAATCGAACAGCAAAAGTTGCAAATGGCTAGGATTTCGCTCATTCGCTTGCGACTCTTTAATGGCGGCGCCTCTGTGCGCATTCATACATACACTTAGATATCAATATATGATTATGTGTATTTGTGTTGTCGGCTTGACAACAGTAAAAAGAACAGAATTGCTGGCTGCTGGCTGCTGGCTGCTGGCTGCTGCCATTTTGCTCGGCCTAACGCACGAGCCCCATCCACTGCACAGCCCAACACAATGGTCTTGGGCCAACTCGGTGCCAGAACGGACATTTCCCAACAACAATGGCTACAAATTTTCGGTGGCTCTTGCCAAGAAAAAATGCCAACAGCATTCGAGAAAGGCTGGAGCGGAAGAGATTTGACAGCATACGCAACATGGCCGAAAAATGAGTGGCGACCAAGACCAAGTCGAGAGCCGAGGCAACGCGGCTGGCGCACATGTCGTATGAGTCGTCACTCATACGACAAGGCAGCCCAAAATCGCAATGGCAACGGCAATGGCATCGGGAGTCAACGGCACAAACGCCCCTAAACAGATTTGATAGTTTTTATCGATTTAAGTGGATTCGGCCTAACATGCAAACAGACTCTGCGAAAAGAAATATGTAAAGAGCGTACGCGAGACGGAACGAGCGGGCAAACATCGTCGCGTTTTGTTCGCCTGCTTCTTCTTCTCTTTTTTTTTCTGTGTTTTTGGCAAATGTCGCGGCCTGAACAAATGAGCATTAAACAAATACGAAGTCTGCGCCTTCGGAGCTATCGAGCAATTTGTGGTGTGAATCAGTTGAGCGATATAGCTGATTCGCACAGTGGGCCTTTGCTTGCTTTTTCGCTGCAAAAGTCGTAGCCAGGCTACGTCTATAAAATTGCTCAAGCCTTAAACTGAATTATTAAATATATTAAATTATTATAAATATAACACTATGTCATTTAAATCATTTTATGATATATATAAATATATATAGATACTTATATAAATATATATATATAGATATTATCAAACATTTCAAGCCAAATTACTTAAAAACTGTGCTCAACTAGCTTTATCTCAAGCTTGTAGCTAGCATGAGGAAACGACTGTAAATAGTTCAAATCGCCCCATGAATATTGCTGAAGTTTCCAGCACATGCAAAAAGGAAGTCTGAACACATATCTTTCAAAATGCGCAATAATTATGCCACAACTCAATCGTCGAGTCGCCCCAAAGAGCTCTCTCGCCTACAGCTGTCTACAAATTCTACAGTTGCGTTTCAATAAATTGTATTCTTGATGTTTCTATTCTGATATGGCTTAACTACTTTGTGTCAAGACTTAAGCTGTTTTTGCATTAGAATCTCCACTTGGAGCTATATAAACTGCCTGCTGCTAGCACCTCTAAGAACCCTTCTTTCGTCCTTCAACCAAGCTTAATTACAATAACAACACAAATAGTTAAATAATCAATAAACATCGTATTTCTTGAGCTTTCGTAAATGTTTTGTTATCCGTCACAGTTGATAGCCTTACATCCCGAGTTTCATTTTATCGGTTGTGACTTGATCAATAGCTTTTTATAGTTGTACGCTGTCACCAGTGGTATACCCTTCTTTGGCTTTTCAGCCCTGCCAAACATGTCAACAGAAATGATCGACGGATGATCCTTAACATCATACATCGTTCGTATTGATTGATCTCTTCTTGCCGTTTTAATTTGTAACTCTAGGGTGTGACGCCTGTACTTATGTATCTTGGCACGTCCCACTTTAACTCCTTCGAGCAGCCGTGGTTGTTGGGGATGTCGTCGGATCCATGTCCACGGCTTCTGATCATCGAATGGCTCGTGCATTAATACTGGTAGCATCACACCCAAATATTGTGCTCCCTCGCCTTTGAAAGCCTTCTTCTTTGGTGGTGGTTTTTTCTTAATCAACTGCTTTTTGTTTTCCACAACATCTGAGTACAAGTCTGAAATTTCCGCAATGTCTCTGTTACGACGATCTTGACCAACGCCACCTTTGCGGGCGGAGTTACCTTTACCATGATGATCATCATCATCATAAGTGCCATCAGTACTATAATTACGATCATTTCGATCATCACTAGGATCATAGCTACCACTACGATCATAATTACCATTGCGATCGTAGTTACCATTACGATCACGGTTACCATTACGATCCTGGTTACCTTTGCGATCATAGTCACCTCTGCGATCATAGTTTCCTTTGCGATCATAGTCACCTCTGCGATCATAGTTACCTTTGCGATCATAGTCACCTCTGCGATCATGGTTACCTTTGCGATCATAGTCACCTTTGCGATTATAGTTACCATTACGATCAGGGTTACTACTACGACCGTAGCTACCATTACGATCATGACTACCATAACGATCATAACTTGTATCATCATCATCAGAGCTTTCATCAGAACTTCCATCTGAACTTCTATTTCCTTTTCCTTTTCCTTTTTCTTTTCCTTTTTCTTTTTCTTCTTTTTTTTTATTTTTCTCTTTATCTGAATCTTTATCTGATTCTTTTCCACCGTCTCTATTAAGGCTACGGTTGCCTTTGTCATTGCCCTGTCCCTTGCCTGAATTAGTACCGAATCCCAAGCTAAACGTCGAATTCTTCAAAAACCCCACCAAATCTGTGGTATTGCTATTTCTATCATTCCTGTCAGATTTTAAAAAATTCTTACAAGTTGTTCCCTTCCTGCTGCTAAACATCGCATACTCTGGTCTTTTACTATGCGGCTCTTCTACCTCGCACGGCATATTTAAGTAGTGATCCAATATTGAAACCACTAACTGTTGAATGTACGGATGAAATACTTGGCGAAGATTGCCCTCACGATCGAAAATTCCATCGTAGAGCACACAAGTGTCAGGCCTAACGAACGGCACTCGGCAATGGGTCCAACGCGAACATTTTGGATTAGTTATCTCGCCAAACTTTTTCATAGTTAGCTCAAACATGAATCTGGACACCTGATCGACTGGCTTCTGTACTATGTTGGCCAGGTGCCTTAACATGATTCCATTTTGCAGAGCCCATCGCCTTTCCTCCGAGTGCCAAATTGGATTGAACTGCTTACATTTCCTAGCAGTCTCCGTCTCCTGCTCACAGTTGATCAGTCGAAGAATTCGGTTCTTTGGCTCACCGCAGGAGGAGGAGCAGAATATCGGCATTGAGATTAAAATTTTTAAAGCTTCTATATATTAAAAACGTAATTTTAAAACTGAAGCTCGAAGCACATTGCTGACATTAGGTACTTGAACTCTGACTTTTAAAGCCTACTACCGATAGCAAAAAGTGTTATAGAAAGCATGAGTTTCTCTTGTTGAAAGGACACACGGAAAGATCCACTGGGAAGGATGGTTTTGCTTGCCGCCGATCAAAGGATCGCTTTGGGTTGTCTATGGAGGGCATTTGTCATGAGTAACTCGCAGGAATTTGCCTAGCTTCAGGCTATATTGGTTTCGTTTAAATGTGTGCAACAGTCAGAAATAGGCTTGGCAGTCCACATAAAGTAGATACATTCTTATATCAGGACGATAAGCTGAGTCGACTGCCTGCCTGTCCGTACGTCCTTCCATCCAACCTCATCTGATAGAGGCAATGCGCGCTGTTCGGAGAAATTCTTAGCTCAACTCAGGTGTGGATATCTTAAAGTCGGGCTCACTACTAAATGCTTAAATGTTTATAAGCTTTTGTTAAATACAAGATATAGAGTATATATATAACGCAGATCAGACGGGGTTCAGATTATGTCCAACCAATCAGCTCTTAAACTGCGGAACATACATGGATTCTTTTTCGAGTTGGACCCGAATGTTCCACAACTCTACTATCAGATGAAATGATTATTTATTAAGAACTACCTCTCGTGTCTTAAATAGTTAATGTGCTTCATCTTCTGGGTGTCTCAGCATGGAAAAAGGTTTGTAAAATATTGCTGGATATTGTCAGGGCATTAGAAGCCTGATAGTATTACAATTGCAATAATCTTAAGTTAATATATTAAGTTTTATTCAATAAGTTCTCACACCTTGGCTGAGTTAAGATTAAATGTCTGGTTAGTGGATAAAACCGATGGAACGGCTTCTGTACTATGTTGGCCAGGTGTTTTAGCATGCTTCCATTGGTTAGACCCCATCGTCTCTCTCTCTGAGATGCTTACATTTCCTAGCAGTCTCCGTGTCCTGCTCACAGCTGAGCGCGCGAAGTATTTGACTGTTTGGCTGGCCGCAGAAAGGGGAGCAGAATATCGGCATTGAAATTAAAAATTGAAAACCGTGCGTATACTTAAGGAATTTTATTTGTTATGACTCATTGCTAACTAAAATCTGTATTAGTGACAGCAAATACATTTGCTCTTCCCATGATCTCCTACTATCGACGGCAGCGTATGACCTGGTACTGTAAACAATCTGTGTGAGGTCCATGCTGTGGACCAATAGCTCAGTAGCACATAGCACTGTTAACTTAAGTTATGGGACGGACATGCTCTGATATCCAGTGCCGAGCACTTAAAGCCTGTGCGGATTATGCTTCCAAGCGGAGGGATTGTTGTCGTTATAAGGTGCGTGGTATACTATGAACACACGATCCATAGTTGGTAACTTAACATTGTTATAACGCTGTAGCAGTGTTTCAGATTTCATATCAAAGGGCAAGTCCCATTTTATTTGGGCTCTTTTGTAATGCCCATGCTTGGCCACAACAGCCGAATAGAAGCTAGATATTTCTGCTGCAACAGAGTTCTCGCGATATTGATGCTTTAGAGGATCGCCCAGTTCTGTTTCAACCAATGCATTGATAAGCTCATCGGCTTTATCTTTCATGTTCTTTTCCAGTAGTAAACGCAAAAAAAACTTTTGTTTCGACTTCAGCATGTCAAGCTCCATGATTCCGAATGCCCGTCGCCGTCCCTTATCATCAGTCATCAGCTCGGCCAGGGACAATTTGGCACTCTTTTTCGCTCTTGATGTATAGAACTTGGACAGATTCTTGAATCGGCCTATATTCGATTTACTGATCAGCGAGATCTTAGACTTTGATCGCGGTAACAACGCATGCCGTACTTTTTGAAAAGTTTTTTTTTTTAATTTCTGTTCTCTTTCGGTGTTGATATTATCGGCGTACCTGATGTGATTGCTGATGGCACTGGTGTACCTCTCGCCGATGCTGCTGTATTTCCGCTGCTGCTGCTGCGGCTTTCTGTTCAGCTTACCAATTTTGTAAACTTGTTCAAAAAAATTGGAACTTATTTTTGGATAAGAGCTAGCAAATTTCATATTGGCTACGTATTGACTGTTTGCTAATTGTGCGCGACTCGAGTAGCTACTGGAACCCCATCTGGATATGTGCTGCATCAGTTGAAGCAGTTTAAAAAGACTCTTGGGATGCGATGGATTTCGTAGATTCCCATCTAAGTCAAAGATTGTCAGAAATTTGTCACAAGCATCGGCGCTGACGAAGGGCACTTCCCACTTCCTTAAAACCCCGCCGATTGGATTTAAGATCTGGCTGTAATTCTGCACCGTTATATTATACATTAGTTTCGTTATCTCAGTTACTGGCTTCTCCAACTTCTGGGCCAGCTGATGGGCAACATTTACATTTCGCTTGTGATAGTTCTCCCAATCTCTGTTGAAAGAATCTCGTTCGTTCTTCTTACGCAGCCCAGAGAACATTTTATTCGCCTTTCGCACCTGCTTAAGTCTCAGCGAAATGACAGGTATGGACCACTGGCAGCATTATAACTAACTGTTTGAATTTTAATATATTTCCAACTACATTGCAGGCTACTGATAAAAATACTTGAATTGAAATTTCCGTCAATGGCTGAATGAGCTCAGCACATTTCTGTACTGGGCGACAACAAAGCATGTGCTTAGGTGTTCCCAAATACAAAACTAAACACACACAAGGCCATGTTCGGAGCGGCTGTCCTAGACAGCTATAAATCTCTATTGAAATCCAGACGAATTTGGTATTTTTTCAATGGTATCGATATTTATCGATTTAGCGGTATACCTCATATGATAGATAGACATTTGTTAATTTGACGAAACTAATACACTCTTCTCGTTTCGTGGGCGAGCATTCAAGTGTATTGGTATATAAGACCTTGCTTTCATGGAAACAACCAAATTAATTGCACATCAAAAACAGTTTTATCAACGTCAACAGCTGACTCTCTGTCTCTTTCACTCTCTACGTCTCCCTTTCATTGTCTCTCTAGTCAAACCATATGTTTATTCCTCAGTCCATCAACATGTCAAGGTGAATCAATCTTTAAGAGTTGTAGTACGTGTGTTGCAAAAAAAGTACCATGAATAATGTTTATAAAGAATAAAACAGATTAAGAATAATTCCTTAATAACGATTATATATCATAATATATCATATACACTAGTTACAATTGTTAGATATATGTTGAGAATAATATATATTTTATATATACAACATATATTTTTTTTATAAATCAGCAAACCACATGTTCTAGGTTTTCTTATGTGGAGTGCTCGACTAACAAATACCCTTAGTCCACCAACCAAGGCTGATCAGTTATATATTTATACTGATTAATGATGATGATCTCTTGTTGGAGTTCGCTTCCCCTTTTGCACATTTTAGCTAGGGTATACTTTAGTCGAGCCTTGCTTTATTGCAGCGTAAAAGAAAATTAATTCACATGATGTCCGCTGATGAGTCAAAAGAAAATTAACCAAAAAGTGAAGAGTCGCAAACAAGACACATCAACATAAACACAAACAAAGCATGAAGGCAATGACGATCGGAGTGGAGTGGCTAGCTGGCAAAGGTTGGGGGCGGGGCGTGAAGGGCAGGGAAGGGAAAGTGATGGAAAGGAGAGTCAATAACCGCGCGAGCTCTCGAGCGTCAGCGTCATCTCTCTCGTACCATCAACAATCCATTCCATTCCATTCCATTCATTACGTGTCGCTTTTGCGCTGTGTAATTTTTTTATTTCCATTTTTTTTATTTTATTATTTTTTTTTTTTGGATTTCAAGCCTAAACAAACACGCAACTTTTTTGTGCGGAAAGTATCTTGTAGCTGGTCTGCAGTTCACTGACATCGCGAAATACACGAAGAGCCACCAAAAGACTTGATCCGCTGAAGCAAACAATCTCAAATGCCAAATATCCTTGCTAGCGCAGAGCTCCGCATAGAGCCAAAGTTCGAGATTCTCTACAGACAGCAACATATCTAGTATATGCGATAAACAGCCTACAGAAATCATCTCAAACAGACCGTAAAACAATAATTACAAAATTGCATGTTTTTTCCTCAAGCAACAACAACAACAATAACAATCAATTTGAGCAACACTCGTATGAATCTAAATGTAGATAACAAAAAAAAAAAAAAAACAAGTTTACATGACAATTTATAGAGGGGTAATTTGCTGAGCTATACATTTATTATGTTTCTTTAAATTTTAATTATTCTTTAAAAAATGAGATTTTTGTTTAGCGATTTTTATGCCACGTTGTGAATATCTCTCAACTATTTATATATAATATATATTTTTTTAATTCCATCAAATATTTCAGTACTCTCTCATATAACTCTTTAACGAGCTTCGCTCTTGGTAGAAGTAGCAAACGCAAATGCAAACGCCGATAAATTATATTTTTAATTAATTATGATTCAATTCTTATATACTTACAGTTAGCAAAAGTCTTAGAGCTTGGAATAATCCTCAAATGGAATATATTTAAAGATTTTTAAGATTTCTTTTCTTATTTAAATTTCAATTATTGTTTGTTTCGTGTTTCGAAGTTGTGACAAAGTTGTTCTTTTAATTGTTAACTAATTGATTAATTGTAAATTTGTATTAATTGCACTTGTTTTGTTTCTTAATTATTGCATTATTGATCTTTGTTTTAATTATATTTTACAATTGTTAATATCGTTTAACTAAACAACGAACAATGAACACATTGGCGATATTTCAACAACGTTTGTTGTCGTCGTGTTTTATTGCACTTATTAATTGCACTTTTTGATTAGTTTCGATCGCTCGATATTTTTTAGAAGCTGCGAAAATTGTTAAAGAAGAGAAATATGAATCTTTATATAACCTCAATGTTGCCAGCGCGATAAATTCTATAAACAAAAGAAGACACAAAAATTGTCTCGAACGCTTTCCATGCCTCTTCTTCTTCTTCTCCTTCTTCTTGGGTTCAATTTTCTATTTCACTCGCCTGTTTATGTGTGCACACGCTCGCTCGCTTGCTCGCTCTCTCTCTATCTTTCTCGCTCTGTCTCCCTCTCTGTCACTCACACAATCACATTCACATTCACACATAGCCACACGCGGACACACAAGCACACACACATACACACTGACATAAATACTTTTGTACATTCATATATATGTACGTATGTATGTATATTATCAGATTCAGACACAGCGAAATTCCGCTACACCGGATATTACAATTGAAAAGAGCGGATTCGTTTTTTTAATCAAAATCACCACAAAATAATATAAATATATAAAAAAAATATTATATGTTTGACGTTTTGTTGTTCACTTTTTGAATATGTACATACATACGCACACACACACATGCATATAGCCGAATACGTTAATATCTATCTAAATACACAAAGAGCAGGATGTGAACTAATAACAATAACAACTTGACTTGGTTAATTTTCTTTTTGCCCTCTCGAACATGTTTTTATTTGATTAATATAAATTTTTTATGCGAATTTCATTATGCGTTATAAATTTTGATATTCCTTGAATTTCGCGCACTCACTTCAATTGCTTAAACTTTACAACAACAATCACTTATTGCAGTTTTTGTTGCTGTTGTTGTGTTTGTTGTTGTTGTTGTTCTTGTTGCTTGAGTTTTTGTTTGTGTGTAGCTAGCTGGCTAGCTGTGTTGTGTATGGCAGTGGCCGAGTAAAAACATCGAACATGACGCGCTGCCTCCGCTGCTGGAAACTCTGCCAAACCGTACAGTTTGAAAGTTAGTGTCGGACTGTTCGGAATGCTGGCGTTGCTCCCTCGAACAGTCACGAAACGTGCCGACGCTGCTAGCTGCTAGCTGGCAATGTTGCATGGAACGCTCGTGTTGGAACGCGCCCAGTCCGAAATATTTCTACACGACTGGAATCGAAACTGGAAGCAGAGCCGAAGTCAAAGTCGTTGTTGAGTCGCCCGCATAACCAGTGTATGGCCGGTTCGCACAGCTGAGCGCCATTTACTACTGCAATCAACCGTTAGATACATATTTATCTAAAAGATAGACCGCACGTACACAAAAAGAAATACAAAAAAAATACAAAAAAAATACAAAAAAAAACAACGAACGAGCGCGTTGTCATCGTAGTAAAGGCAAAACCGGTAAAGCAGCACTAACACTGCATTTTGTGTGGGCGAAGAGAGTAGATCCAAAGAGAGCGGACCGCGCTACAAAAGAGACAAAGAGAAAATCTATTGCAGCGCGGCTACGATTTGTATTCGGGTTGCACTTGGTTTGATGCTGTTATTTACAGTCTCGAAGAATGCCACGAACACAACCTATACTTTATTTGATAAATTTACAATGTTTTCACATGAGAAAGCGATTGCGTGTTTTCATTTGAATTTTAGGAAATATTGGACAGATGATTTACATATTGTTGGCAAACTCCTACACAAAACATTACGCCTACATAGCTACATGTGGGTAGCGAGAAAAAAAAAAACAAACAAAAGTCAGATTATCATATAATGTGGCTCATAGATAACCCCAAAAGGTCAGAAACCGAAAGTAACCAAATTCTGGAAATGGTGTCGCCACAGAGCATCGACTTTATCAATAATAATAACTACACCCAACGAGAAATCCAGCCTAGCGATAGCATTTGAACTTTAGACCCAAGAGTTTGGCGGTACATTTTGAATGGATGGCAAAAAAAAAACGAATTATTTAGCAAAAAGAAAAAAGAAGACATTTGCCTCACTGCCTGCCTGCCCGACTAACAGATACCATCCATTCTCATCTGCAAGCTGACTAGCCTTAGCATACATTCGACCTTCCTTCGGCTCGAACACTAACACAGCTCGACTCCAATACATGCACACGTATACCTACACATATACCCTTCACCAGCCAGTCGTAAGTAGTTCACAAGGTACGCATACCCGGCTGCACTTCGCTGGCGAATTGAACATGGCGATGGCCGCTTTTATAAGTGTGTTTACTTATACATTACCTTGCGCTTGCGAATGTGTGCTTACAAAGAACCGGTTTGGCATGAGCTTTTTTTCGTACATTTTTTTCTTTTGCTTGTAAGCTGCGCAATGCAGGCGGCTTTGTGGCTTTTGCTATTTGTATAAGAGAATTAAATATGAAATATTGCAAAATAAATAATTAATAAAAAAAGGATTTTATAACTTTTATATAACTTATCATTTAAGCTGCCGCTGTTTTGGGTCCGATATGCAACTATTTCCTCATTATTCTTATTTAATTGCTAATTACAGCTTAGAGTCAATCAAATTATGCTGGTAGACACACACACAGACAAACACATACATGTGTTTAAAATGAAAATTTTCTAATATTTGAGCAACATTTAATTATAGATGTGCAGTGTATTCTGGTTGCAGTCACTAAATCAAAATAATCATCGCAATGATTATGATGTTAAAGTTGCTCGAGCCGGCTTGACTAGGTTTTGTGGCAGCCTCGCACAGAATGGGACACTCTAATATAATTTACGACACTGCAAATGACGACGGCGACGTAAGCCCTCTGCAGTCGCACATACACACTCTTAACAACAGCCAACCGACCGAGCAGCCAACCTGCAAGAAGACCTAAAGTATCACTCGCTCTCTCTATCTCTCTGTGATATTGTAGTCTCTCTCCCTCTCTCTCTCTTTGTCTCTAGCTGAGAGAGTGAGAGAGAGACGAAGCTTTGCATCAAAGGCTGGCTGGCTGGCTCGCCGTCTGTTCGCTTGGTGTGGGAAAGAATGCAATAAAGGGAATTTCCAAGACTTGGCAACCGCATTCGTAATGTATTTTGTATCTCTTTGGATACATTTTAAATAGTTCGCCATACGCTGGCTTGGCGCATAGACAATGTGCACTAGACATATGCATGCACACACACACACATAGTGTGCATATGTTTGAGTGCCTTTGTACACGAAGCGAGCAGCCAAAAACATTTGCATTAGCAACGCCAATTAATCAAAAACTGCAAATGATTTCAATAGTTTTTAGCAAAACAGTGCGGGTATTGCGACAGATACATTTGTATGCTTCAGATACATTTGTATCTCAAGCAGTGGTCGCTGCTTACATCAGCCGCTGACTGATTGTTATTGTTTCTCGAGCTAGGTTCATTAAGGAACATTCCAGACTTAGTACCCAAAATTCTAGATTTCTCTAATGGAAGCTGTGCTACAGCTTCCACTGCTGACCTCAATTGTTGGCCAGAATCCGCAGGGTATATCTGAGTAGATAGATCTGATTACTTTAGATGGTTAGATTTCGAGTTATTCTAGTTTGTATGTTGATCCAGTTTCAATGCATCTGCCGAAAGAGAAGCGAAGAGTTTCTTTAAGAAATTGTCGTTAAGGATTTCAATTGCAATTCGATAAGTTTCCTGGGTAGATACTTGCCTGTATGTATGAGGATCTATCGATCACTATTAGTAAATTCCATTTTTAGTCACGCCTTATGTTGCCCAGGCGATTTCGTATTTAAGTGGAACAGCACAACCTCAATGGGACAACAAATGGAAATGCTGTAGAAATCACTTTGTGTTCGGCTTTGGCTTCGGCTTTGGCTTTGGCTCTGGCTCTGGCTGTGGCTCTGGCACCAGCTCAGCTCAGCTGCTCCAGCGATTTTGTTGTCAGCCACAAGTCATGCAAACAGGCGGCAATCGCTTTGCAAACTTTTCAAATAGCCAGCAAACCGAACCCCACCGCTTCCCCACAACAAAATTCCTCATGTTGGGGAAAACCTCACCTCCCCCTACCCCGGCCATGCCTCACGCCTTCTGCCCCCGTGCAGCCAGTGGCCACATTTTTGCAGTTGTCGAGTGGCGTTTTTCGCAACTTTTTTTCCCACTTCTTCTTCAGCTTCTTCTTCTGCTTCTCAAAGCTGACTCTCTGACTGGTCGATAGTTGGGAGAAAACCAACTGAAGTTGAAACTTTAATCTGATGGCTGTTGGGAGTGGAGCCGAGTTGCTATCTGGTGCTGCTGAGCAGGGAAAACTTTACAGTTATGAAGGTTAGATATGCAATTTAAGGGTTTTTAATCTATTAGCACAAAATTGCATAGATAAAGGCTCGAGCGAAAGAGGTTTAAAGTGTTTTAAAGTACAATTGTAAAAGTTCGAGTTTTTATATCTAAATCTAGATCAATCGTAAAGACTTTAAACAAGTTAAGCAATTATCAAACTAACTTATTTCAGTTATTCTTCGTTTATTAAGGAAATATTTTTAAATTCTCTTTATGGCATTACTAAGAATATACCTACCAAAATTGGTGTATATAACTACTATATTTTTCGAACTTTGCATAAAAAATGAAATCCGGGAACTACGATCGGAAGCGGTCTCTCTAGCTTTCTGGACTAGCTCGAATTCATTGTATTAGTTCTTCGTTAACTTTATATAGCTCTACAGAAGTTACAGATCAAGCTATAGATCTCTAGTTCGTAAAGTCTATGAATACAGAAAATGAATGATAAAGAGAGTAGGTATATGCAAAGAGTAATCTATCTGGCTGGATCTACATGGAAGCGATTGGTACTTCCTTAACTTTGGCTTTACTTCTTTAAAGTGTTAAATATAAATCTGTGTAAAGTGTTTACCAAAAGTCGCCAATTAATACTCAATTTCGCAGCCAACTGGAAAATTACAAGACAAAGGAAAAAGGAAAGCATAGGCTGGATAAATTAAGAAATAAAGATAGTTAACAGCGAGGGTGGCTCATGAATGACACACGGAAGCAAGTGAGGAAAGCCGCAAATTAGCCAATGGAGTTACAGACAAAGTCGAACCATAAACGAGAGACGAGAGACGAGAGACGCGAGAGGTTGAGGCTAGCTGACGATGGCGATAACTGTTAACGGATCAGGCTCAGCGAATGACGTTGAAAACAATGTTAACAAAAATAGTATTTAAGGAGAAAGTCAATGCTGCGCAGTCCAACAATCATAGCAACAGTCAAAACAAGTAAGAGTGATTCGGCGAATTGCCAGCCTGCAGATACCCTTTAGTCTTGATGTGAATGATCAAAATGAACTACTGCGCTGATCGATATATATCGATATCTCATGCACGATAGCAACTCTTCCAATACCAATCGATATATATCGATAACTGATAGACTAGGTAAGTGATCTAAATCAACTAACTGCCAGTTCCATGCAATTATATACCCTTTTGCCGACATTTTTACAATGGGTACAATTTGTTGACTACTCGCAATGGAGCGTAGAAGCTGACGGAGACATACAAACGGCAAGAAAACATAAGCGAAAAACCAGCTGAAGCAGGAACGTGTATAAATATGGCAAAATCCGCCGCGAGCCGCATCTAAAGAGAGTGGCACTGGGAAGTGGAACTGGAACTGGGAGCTGGTGCTCATCAGGTAATATATATAAATACATACAGCGCCAACTGTGGCGAATCAGGCTACGAATCAGCGAATCTGCAGCCGAAGGAGAACCAAGCGAAGCACAAATGAAGCATATATCGAGAGCAACTGACTCGACTCGAGCAGTTGAATGACCACTAGTCAAAGGGAACCCCCAACCCCTACTCGATTATGAATATGGCAATTACAGTTATAGCTGTCCGAACTGATGCAGATGCAGATGCAGATGCAGGTACAGATGCAGATACAGATACAGATATTAATATATAAATGTCAAAATCGAGGCCAACGATCAGGATGTGCATTGGCGAGGTCAAGTAAAATATAAATATATATATATATATATATATATAGATGCTAGGGATAGTGAAGGACCCAATTTAAACCCTGACTGAATGGTAATAATATAATAATAATAATAATGAATTAAGACAGAGACGGATTTTCATATATGGAAGTACAGATATATATAGATATATACACCATATATTTCCTCTAGTATACAGTTGTATATCCGCTAGATAAATCTTACTTTTTCACTGCAACACACAGCAACTTGCCACAGGCTGCAAGCACCTCACCTAATCTCGAAGCCAACATACCACAGCGTTTCACTAGTCGCCAGCTCTGCTGTGCTCCCTTCCCTGGGTTTTTTTTCTTCTTGTTGCGTCCATGCAACACCTACGGAAAGACCTTGAAAACCAGCCGCATGAAGCGAGTGCAACTTTCACCAGATGCAGTTGAGAAGACGCTGCCACAGGCGACCGAAGCGAAGCTGCCCGAAAGAAAACGAATCAGTTTTACAGACGCCAGTTGCAAGTGGCAACTTGCACGTTGCAACCAGAGCCCAATCACTGCTGCAGTCTTTAATCAAAGTGTCAGCAAGTTGCCATACGACTACTTTATCTGACTCTTCATAATGGAAACTGCAAATTCTACTTTTATTCAAAAGTTACTCAATGTTTTGACTTGTGAGTCAAGCGGGCAGAGGTGAAAGGAAAAAGATATGAGGTAAAAGATAACTATAAATTAAAAGATTTAACTTTCTCATAAATCTAATAAAAATATAGTTTTTAGAGATTATTCTTAGAACAATGTCGATTAAGAAAGAAGAAATATAGAATATACCGAAAGAAATCGGAATAATCTAAGCTCACATACGTTCATGTATATTGTTTATATTATTCTTGCTCTACAACTATATTTTCAAATAACCTGATTAATATTATTCTCTATTTTAAAACATTATTTTAAGTATTGTTTAACAACACCTTTTAATCCTGAACTCTGAAGTGAGTTTTTAACAATTTCCCATAAACAATTTCCTCGAATATACCATTCGAATTCGAAATTTTAAATATTAACAAAAATTAATACAAAAACAAAAAATTCAAAAAATAAATCAATATTTTTCAAATTTTTGCTCTTGCTTCTCGGCACGGTTATGGCCTTTCACAAGTTGTATTTTCCAAAGCAGAGTAAGTTAGTTTGAATTTGTTTCTGTATTTTGGTTTTTTCATACTTAATCATTATTTTTCCAGTGCTTGCTTTCATTACTTGTTTGAAGCCCACTCACACAGGCACAGAGGTACATGCATACCTCTTGGAACCCCACTCGATCGTGCTGCTGCCTATATTTGTGCTTGTATTTGTGTATGTACTGTTGTAAATCGACTCGTCGAGTGCTCATTGGAATCGAAGACATAGCAGTGGGAACAGCATTGCAAACCTCGACACCACCATTCTCTCGTTCTGTCTCTCTCTCTCTCTCAAATTGACTCTCCAAAATTGCTTTTTATCTCTTCGTCGTTCCCATTACAACAAGCAAAGTGTCTTTGTATTGAGGTTACTTAAATACCCTTGCAAATCGAGTGTGGAATTTGTGAGTTGCAATTTAACTTTAATTGAGATATATAATTATTACATTATTATTATATGATTGCAAAATATAATTTTATATTTTGTGGATGTAACATTAAATAACATGTATACATTTTGTACACCGCTCAGATGTAATTGTCAAAAAGGGTGTTTATAATTCAGTGTTACTGATTACTAGCAAAAATACCCATTTACCCACACATTTACATATTTATACTTAAGTTTGTGTGTGTGTGTATATATGTTATTTGAACATTTAATTCTCATTGCGCTTTGCGTTCGCCTCTTCGTGTGCCTTTCCCTCTCTCTATGTGTACTTATCTCTCTTTTAATTTCTCGGTCTCTCTCTCTCTCTTTAACATTCTTCCTCAATCTTGATCGCAATCTGATGTTGTTGCTCCGGCTGATCAAGTGCTCAATTTTGTTTTTGTGTTTTTACTCTAAATCTATAAAATGAGCATTGCGCAAATGTATGTATCTTCACGATCCAATAAGTTTATAACATTCGGAAAATAAATACAGAAATATGGAATGCATATTTCAAATTGTTTTAAGCGTGAAGCGTGCATGTTTGTTTTGCTGCATATTCACAGCTGACTACAAGGGTATCGAGCAGTCGATAAGTTTGTCTGGAGCACTCTTACTTGTTCATGGTTGCTGCTGTAGCTCTTGGCAAACTTCCATGGACCGTTCCGGCATTCCGAAATTCGCATACCAATGTTTCCAGTTAAACCAATTCCAGTTTTCAATTGGAATAATGCCGAAGAGCTCTGCCACAGGTTCAACACACTCGTAACGCTGCACAGTCACCAGTTTGCCAGTTAGAAGCTGCAGACGTCTTACCAGCACTCAAACATCACCACAGTATAAGAGTGGACTCGAAGACATGTATAAGAGCGGCAGCGTTGGAATGCGAGCGCCGCAAAAAGAGTGGTGATCTCTCTACCTCTGTGCTACAACAACTGCATCGATCGACTGAGTGAACTCAATCAACGAGCAATGCTCGTGGAAGTATATATGTCTGCATGTATATATATATGCATACATACGTGCTTGTGTGTGTATGTATATAATTGAGTGCAAAACAAGTCGACTCATTGGTTACGTTGCGTAAGCGTAAAGTAATGAAAGCTTTTTGAGAAGATCGAAGATTCACGAAATTAAAGAAAACTGAGTTAAAACTTGAAATTTTATGTATATATTCTTAGGAATCTTTTGTAGAAAAATTTTACTGTTTTTGTTCAATATCATAGAGCCTATCTATAATATAGATAAGAGCTTGCCATTTAATATTTTTCTAATGACTATTAGAGTAAATGACAATCAAAAGTATATATGAAAGACGTAATTTTATAGGGTATCTTTTTGTCGGCCATCGCTCTTATTGCTCTCGTTGTTCGTTCACAACTATCTTTACCGTGTTTTTCTTTTTATTTCCCAACTATCCCCTGGCGACAATTGTTGCATCAGCTCTTGCGTCTGCTCGACTGCAGCTTCAGCTTCAGCTTCATTCGTTTCATTTATTTGCGAACTTTAAGTGAGTTTCCCGAGTGCGACTTTCTTTTCCCTTTCACGCTCAGCTCAAGTAGGTGCAACTTGTTGTCGAGTTCCCTACTTATACTCCCTTCAACAGCCTCACCTGCCATTCTAGCCTGTTATCATAAACAACCTTTCGCTTTTGCAGCTAAACTTTGCTTTTCAGTTGCTGTTTAGCTTTAAGTTTTCCGGCTCGCAAACTTTTTGAAAGTGAATTTTTCAATTTAACTAGGCGACCGATCAATGGTTAATGAATGGTTGCTATAGTTGACCCATAACCCATGCAGGCAATGTATCATTAAAGATTCGTTTTCCTTTGGTTAGTAGAAACTTTAGATTTGTTTAAGGCCAGAAGCACACAGAAAACGTCCTTATAGATACATTCCCATATATATATATATTTATATTTATAGTATATACTTATAAGATTTCGAGGATTTTCGGAACACAAATGCATTGGAAAGATGGAGAGTCGCTTCGTTGCTTTATCGCTAAATGACGCATTGCATGTTTGGGAAATGTGGCAAGAGTTGTCGAGTGATATATATTACTATGAGCTCATGCCGCAAAGAGCAGCAAGAATAGCATCAAATCGGCGAGCTTCCGGCATATGCCAAACATTAATAATAAACAACTTACAAGCCATAAACCAATGAGAGGCCGAGAGACGCACAAGTCAAACGCAAAATATAAAAAATAAAATCAAAAATAAAAAGCCAAACTACCACAGTATAAATTACGATATGGAATAAAAGCGAGACATCTCCGAGCTCGGAGCAATTACATCCAGATTTGTACGACTGCATAATATCCTGCACTTTTCAACTCTTAGCAGCAAAACAATAAATCAAAATTCAAAGTCATTAAATTTATAGAATTTACAGCGCAGAACGCCTTGACTGGGTCTTTAAGCATAATTAGTAATATATTACATAAATACATATATACTATGTAATACATATATAAGCCAGTTGACTTGATCTTTAGAGAAGATCATTAAAGCTGCATAAATTTTTATGTAGAATTTCTTGAATCTGAAAAGTTTTTGCAATATTAAAAGATTTCTTTTAGTCTCTGAAGTCATTTAATTTGGAATTCAATAACTGCTTTTATGAGATACATTAGACAGGCCCGTAAAATCATATTTTCTCATAATATATCGATAACTTTCTGCAAGAAAATCATATTTTTTTATAATATATCGATAACTTTCTGCAAGAAAATCATATTTTTTTATAATATATCGATAACTTTCTGCAAGAAAATCATATTTTTTTATAATATATCGATAACTTTCTGCAAGAAAATCATATTTTTTTATAATATATCGATAACTTTCTGCAAGAAAATATATATATGACACAATATCGATAACTGTGCAGGAAAAACCTATTTATTACATAATATCGATAACTGTCTGCAAGTAAAACATATTTATTTTCAATATTCGATAACTTTCTAGCCAGCTAGAAGTATGCTTAACAAGCTGGCTGTTGTATCAATGTTTTAGTCTATTCGTCGATAACTTCATGTAATACATATCGATAACTATATATATAAACATCGGTGAGCTGTTGAAAGAATTCGAATAGGAAAGCAAAGATAAGTCATGAGGGGTCAAATCAGAGGTGTCCTTAAAGGTTTAGTAAGAATTTAGAGTAAAAACAACTTAAGCTTCAAGTTATTCTATTTATTTATGCAAGAGCATTAAAATTGATCCAATAATGATAAGCTCTAAAGGCTCTTTTGATGCAGCTAGCAGGGTATTAATGCCAGCAGGCGAATGAATTTCGTATTCAACCAATAAAAAATATACCAAAAAATAAAAGGAAAAAGGAAACTAAAACTCAAACACAATTGCAAAGTCACAAAGGAAAATGCAATGGAAAATATGCGCACAGTGAGTGTCAAAATTATTACAACCAGTCAGCCAGCTAGCCGGATGGACTGGACCGGACTGACTGGACTGGACTGGACGGGACTGGAGTGAAACCGAATGGCGCTGGGCTGCTAAACTAAATGGTAACTCGAATGTTGCCACTAAATTGGAAGGCACAAGTCACACTGGACGTGGACAACAAGCCTGATGGCGACAACAGACCGAGGACGGAAGCGACAGACAGATGATGCATGCTACACGCCTTGCACTTTACCAGCGCGCTGACAATAGAGAGAGAGAGAGAGAGAGAGAGAGAGTAGGGGCACAGGCAGATTGGCCGACACAGCGACAGAATTAAGGCATTAACAAGCAAATTGCAACCATCCAAAAAACCTATTCGCCCCAATTTGTATGCTAGCTCACGAACTCAAGATAGATCAACTGTCCAGATATAGGAAGTTACAAATATCTTCTATATATGGAATCTAAGAGAGTGGGTAGTATGTACAGGTATGTACTAATATACATATATATAATATTATAAAAAGCTAGAGTTTCTTAGTTTCACGTTATATAATACACAATAAATATTTTTAAATTTTTAAAAAATTATTTTTTATTTTTAAATTATTATTTTGAATAAATTCTTTCATACGAAATGATTTTCAAAAATTAAAATATTTAAATTTTAAGTAAGTTCTGTAATAATATAAATTTTTAATAAAATAATTTTATATATATATATATATATATATATATATATATATATATATATTTATATTTAATTAATAAATATTTTTTTTAAATATATATAAATTAAAAAATTACTAAATATATATTTATATTATTTTTAAGCTTAAATAATAATTATTTTTATTTATATATTCTTTCTTATAACATTTGGTGAAAACCATTTTCGGAACGTTAAATATTCACAGAAAATATAAAATTAAATGTAAAGAGCAGAGAGACACGATATATTTTTTTTGGCAAAAAGCCTGGTAAAAAAGGACAAGAGAAAAAGAAATATGAATATTGCAGTCGGCTCTACACGGCTGCACAATGCACGCCATTCAGCAATGGAGTTAAAAAACAATAAACTTACTCAGTTGCTTTTACTATAACTCTCTAGGCAACTTAATTTACAGAAAGAAATAATAGTCACAGGACTATGCCTAGTTCAATAGATATATATGCCATGCGACCCAGGCACTGGCAGCCATTGACACTCGTCTCATCTGCACGCACAGCAGGATCTGGTCAAACACTGCCCGCCAGCTTTATGATGTTAACTGCCAATGAACAGCTCGGAGAGAACTGTTTGGCAATTGCTATGCATGCGAAACACACACAGCGAACTAAAGAGGTTAACTTGGCTAACAAAAAAAGAGACAAAAAAATAGTAGTGGCAATACAGATAATATTTAAGTTTTAAAACAATAAGAAGAGAAAGATATAGCATCGTCTAACAGTTTGCCCTATGATCTGATCAGTTCTGACCAGTTTTATGAAGTTTTCTGTTTAAGTTATTTGAATATCTTTAGCAGAGTTTCTTATAGACTTTCAATGCTTTTTCTTAGCTAAATTTCTTGGCTGAGTTTCTTATAGAAATTTAACACTTTTTCAAGGATTGTTGTAAGGCAAGTTAAAGGTAAAGATTCGAAAAAGAATTTCACACAGTTTCAGAAACTTTTTTATGTGAAGTTTTAGAATATAATTTTGAAATTTTTTAAAAATGTTTTAAATAATTGTAGAGAAAGAACGATATTAAAATGTGTATAAGGTAATATAGTATATATAATATGTATAATATATATAATTTAGTATATAATATATATGTATATAATTTGATATATAAACATATAAATATATATATTTGAGCTGTTTAATATGATTCGCATAGCTTAAAAAAGTTTTCTTTTCATAAATATCAAAAGATGCAATTGAAATGCTCTATATATAAATATAAAATATTTAGTATATTTAAAGAAATATATTTCAGAGAAATATGCCTAAAATTCAAATTCAATTAGCTTTAAAAATGCTTAAATAATTTTACATAAATAAAATTGCTTAATATACCCAGTGCTTTACTGGGATTTAACAATCAATAGAGCAAAGGTAAATATTGCAGCAGCAGCAGCAGCTTAAAAATTAATTTCGGCCAGCTCTTGAACAAGTTATTTGGATAAGTCGAAAAGAATTGCAAAAAAGAAGTGTTCAGGCCAGACACAATGCTGGGGCAAAGCCAAATAGCCTTGGAGCGCGGCTGGTCAAGGGAAATGGCGAATGGCGAATGGCGAATGGCGAATGGCAAATGGCAAATGGAATTGGAAACAAGGATACACAAATTGCAAATACAATGTCATAAAGCGGGCACTCACCTCGGTAAAGTTTGCTGCGTTTACTGCCAGCAGCAGCAGCAGCAATGGCTGGCTGTAGCTGCAGATGATGTTGCTGCTGTTGCTGCTGCTGCTGCTGCTGTTGTTGCTGCTGTTGCTGCTGCTGTTGCTGTTGTGTTTGCCTGTGTTGCTGTTGTATTGCCGCATCCAATTGCAGCAGCAATTGAGGCGCTGCTGCTGCTGCTGCCTGGCCAATATTTCCATTAACATTTGTCACCACGAGCTTCTGCTGCTGCTGCTGCTGTTGCTGCTGCTGATGCAATTGATGCTGATGCGTGAGCAATTGCTGGCCATTGCCAGCAGCTGCCGCTACCGCTGCTGCTGCTAATGCGGGCGGTCCATGGGCCGGACAGAAGCTGCGATACTCTCCATTGATGTCCATATAGATGGGCGCCTCCACGAGTGGCCAAGCGGCGCCAGTTGCAGTTGCAGCAGCAGCAGCAGTTGGTGCAGTGGCTGCTGCTGCTGCTGTTGCTGCCGCCGCCGTTGCTGTTGGCGTTAGCGTAATTAATTGCACCGGCAACAGCTGCGGGCCATTGCTCGACTGCAAATGTATGTGCGGCATGCCACTGTGCTGGCTGCAATGCGCTTGCTGCTGCTGCTTGGGCGACAGCTGTTGCTGCTGCTGCGGCAGGCTTAGCGCATGTTGCTGATAGTAAACTGTAGCCTGCTCATAGCCAGCATAAGCTGTGCTTGCAGCCTGGCCTCTGTTGTAAGCTGCAGCATGAGGTTGCATAGACATGTTGCTGCTGCTCGAGGCGATTGCTTTTTGCGGCTTGGCTCTGAGGGCGGCAGGTTGAAAGGGCGGCGCCAGCGGCGTCAGGTTCGATTGATACGCCTTGACCAGAGCGCTGCTGTGAGCTGTTGGCTCTGCCTCTGGCTCCGGCTCTGGCTCCGGCTCTGGCTCTGGCTCTGGCTCTGGCTCTGGCTCTGGCTCTGGCGCTGTGCTGCAATGGGCCTGATTCGTTGCGTCTTTGCGCGTGGCTCTAGCGCTCGCCTGGCCGCTCGTGCCGCTGCGATTGTTGTTGTTGTCGACGATGGCTTGGGCTGTTGGCAGTTCGCCAACAACTTTGACGCCCGATTTATCGATCAGCTGATAGCTCTCGTCGATGAAAGCGACCAGATCTTTGCAAGCCTGCTGCAGCTCCTCCGATGTCGTCTGCTGTGCCTCGGCGCTCTCTTCCTCGTCCTCCTCGTCGTCGCTTTCGATAACATGTTCGATAATGCGCAGGTTCTCATAGTCGATGATGCGCGCATAGCCCATTTTGAGTGCTAGATTCGTTAGCCTAGCCATCTCCACATCCACGTTCTCATTGTTGAAGGTGAAGACGTCGAACGCCCGCTGAGCTTCGCTATCGACGCATGGCTGTGGCTCCTTGGAAGTTTGTTCCGTGGGAAAGTCTAGCAAAACTGTCATTTTGCCATTGAGTTCGTAATTGTTATCGATATTTGTAACGTTATCGTTAATTGCAGCGCCTTCTGCAGTTTTAGATGCCGCTGATTCCGGCTCTTCGGCTTTGGGCTTGGCCTCTGCCTCGGCCGAGCTTGCTAAGTTCTTTGGCTGTTCCTTCTCGATATCTTCCTCATTTTCTACCACAGCTGGTGCGCCATTCTCGATAAATATTTCAGCACCTTCATCGACAGCTGGCGTTAGACAAGTGTCATAATAAACACACTCATCGCACACCAAATCCAACTGCGCCTCGGTCGACGGCGTTTTCAATAGGGAACTGACAGTTGCAGCAGCCATTATTATTTCCAGGTATAACCCTATATATATATGTATATACCTCTTATTAGTTCTTAATTACACTGGCATTATCTGCTTGTTGCTGCTCGTGTTCTTGTTTACTCGAGAATCTCATGTTTTCGTGGCTTCGATTTGAGTAAATTTTTTATTTAAAACAAATTACAAAATTCTGTAAGTAAAAAGAAGAAGAAATACAATTAAAAAATTATTGCGATTATTTCATTTACTCTTTTCATATTTAACCTAGAATAAAATACATTTTTTTTGCTGTGAATGTCATAAATAATTAAAATTAATAAAAATGGGAAATTGCAGGGAAACACTTTACAGGAGAGAATTTGACTGGGAGATATTTCGTCTTTATTCGCCTATATAAAAAAATATTCTTCACAAATAAAAGCTTGCACTAGATTTCTATTTAAGACAAAAAGCTACAAATCGATATTTATCGATGGCATAAAAGCGGACAAGATTTCATAAAAATTCAAATCAAACTGAATTTATATTTAAAAATCTTTAGCTTCAGTATTCATTCATATTTATCGCTCATTTCACTCAACTTTTGAGTATATTAAAATTCAATCTCAACTTTTATGAGGCATTTCTAAGCCCGAGGGAACTTATAACTGTCTGCCTAAATTCTTTTTTCTCTCATCTATTATATATATATATATATCTACGTTTATATGAATATTTAATATAGTTAACGATGACGAAGTTTACATATTTCTGATGTCATTTGTCCTACTCGTTGCATAACAAATGAAAAAGCCGAAAGCGAAAAGAAAACTCAACTGAATTTTCACAAGCAGTCGAGCAATACAATTGTCTGATTGGCATATGACATTTTGGGGTCAGTCAATAAATTGGAAATATGGATTAGATGTATGCAAAGTAATTCCTGCTGCCCTGAACCCCAGAGGGCATAAAATGTATGTAGAGATACGCAGATGATAAATAGCTGGAACTAGCAAAAGATAAGTTAAAGACTTTAAATGAAGTTTTATATGCATTTTTGCTACGGATAAAGCTAATTAAATTCTATATAAATTCTATATAAATTCTATATAAATTCTATATAAATTCTATATAATAACTGAATCATTTTAGTTTTATTTGTAAATTGCTTAGGCATATAGAAAACAGCTTCAATGCTTATAGCATTGCTCTTGAGGGCTACCAAAAACAGTCAAAATTTAGTGAATATTAAGTGAAATATACAAATGTAGAAAACACACAAGAAATATATATATATACTCTTTGAAATTATATATATTATATAAACTCTTTAAAGGTAAACTAAAAAGTATACCAAATGTTGTATAATTATTGAAATGTAAAATTTTGTAAGAGAGGAATATAGGCCAGGCTTAAAAAAAAGAATAGAATAATCTAGCTCCCTCAATCCCGTATCGGATTAGTAAATTTGACATATATGCATAAAAATAAAGAAATATTGGTATATAAAGAATTTTACATAAAAAAATAATTATAAATTATATATAAATTATAAAGAATAAATTATTTAAGTTAATAATTTTTCTAAGAAAGCATTTAATCGACTATTTTAAATAATTGCATAAAAATAAATTATATTCATATATATGTTTATATTTTATTTTATTTTATTTTAAATTCAAATTTTCATATGAAATTTAAAGTATTTTAAATGTAAATTTCAAATAAAATAAAATTAAATTATCAATTTGTCATAGATGTAGAATAGATCTCATCACATCAATCACTTTTCTTCGTCCATCTTTTACACCATCAGCTCCCATGCTAGCTTCAATGATTCACTACACACATCACACATACGACGTGTGGCACGCAAGCAGCTTGAGCTGAAGCAACAAAAATCGTAGCATACTTAAGAGGGCTGGCTGAAACTGCCATGCAAATACGCACAGCTGCAGGCCATATGGCGAGCGCAATGCACAATAGTGCAAATCTATAATTATATTTAATGACGCAATTAAAACTTTTATCAATTGAATATGGCCACGCTTGAATACCCTTTCAAATTTCAAAGTAAGCCAAGTTCATAAGCTCAAACAGCTAATCACATTGAGTTTACAGGGCATGCGCTAGTCGTGCATGCCAGCACTTGTGTGTGCGTCTGCTTTGACACTTAATTTGCCATATGCTGCGCCACAGTTGTCAAGCAGATTATTGGACCTCGTCGCAATACTATTTTTAGCCCTAGAGATAAACATTAATTGACGTAATATTTGATGGGCTTTCTTGGATTACCAAAGGAAATGCGTTTCAGCAGCAAACTAACTTGCATCTATAACATTCAATATGTCATGTGCTTAGCTGCTGCTCAAATAAATTCAATTGAAAATCTACTTTGACAGCTGAATTTTCGGCTGAATGAACAAGGTTTGATCTGAGCAATCAGCTAAGCTTTACTTTATTATTTTATATAAAAATGATAATAATAATTTATAATAATATTTAACTGAGATATAAGTTATCTATCTTAAATAACTGTTACAGAAATCACACTCAAAGCGGATAGAAAATGGCAATGGAAAACGCTTTAAAATAAATGTTTATAAATTTTAGATTTTTAGTAAAAAAAAAAAGATTTGTGAAAAATAATTTCATATCTTTCGACAAATATGACGTGATAAACAGACTTGGAAATTGGCGTTGTTATTTTTATGTTTTTTAATGCTATTATTAATTTTGTTATTGTTATTAATATTTTACTTAATTTTATTATTATTATTACATTTAATATTTATTATTTATTTTCACACAAAAAAAATATAAATTTATAAATATTTATATTAATTCTAAATATATATATATATATAAATATATATATATTTATATTATATATATTTTATTATAAATATATTACAATTATCATGATTAAATGTAATATATTATATAATAATTAATCATTTCATAATTTAAACTTTTATTTAAATTGCGATTTTCTTGTTTTCTAATCCTGATTATCAACTCAATAATTTCTCTTAACTATGACCTTCGGCTAGAGCAGAACTTTATGCATTCACTAATAAAGAATTTCAAACCCAAATACTCATTGTTCATTGCTCTAATGACTAATCCACTTAGACCACACCCACTGCCCACTGCCCACCGCCCATCGACCGAAGAGTGCATCTTGAAAATTAAAAAAGTTTCGTATGAAATTTAATTTTCCCAGAAACCGAAAGCTTTGCATTAGATATTTTAGAAAAATAAACTCAGCAACTAACGGCAACAAATGTAAATTATGCAAAAAGTTCAACGAGAGATAAATTTGCATTGCAACTTTCACTGCTGATTACGTATGTGTAACGACGTTAGCTCAGCATCGGCTAAGTATTACGGGGAGCGTAGTTATGCGAGTCGAGTATCCAAAAACAAAGCAAGCTTAGTTAAGCCATTTGGCAGCATGCGGCATTGGGACTACAGTGCTCGTATTCGATAGTTGTTAGAGAACGTATTCACATTCACAAAATACAATAATCCGTTGCTTTATTTTTATAGTCAGTCGAGATATGCCGAACTTTAATGGAGCCATTGTCATGCACACGCTGCAATTGATCAAGACGCCGGCGACGCTGCGTGAGATTGTGGTGACAATTGCCAAGAATATCGACTTGCCGCAGGACGATCTGATGAAGCCGGTCAAGCAGACGCTGGACATGGGCTATCGCATGGGCTTCTTGCAGAAACTCAATGGTAAACTGAATGAATATCAGGTGAACAAACTCGGCTCTAATACATCAGTTACAGGTAGATACTTTCTGGTGCCGATGTCCTTCGACACGCTCAGAACAGAGATGAGGTCGATGAGCCAACAGATCCGGGCCAAGCCAGATGTAGTCGATAAAGTCGACTTGAAGCCCAAAATGGAAAAGCGAACAGGCAACAAGCAGCTGCAGCTGCAGCACCAGCTGCCATTGAAGGCACTCGAGCTGTTCAACAAGTCGGGAATGCTGGATGCCGAGTCTACGACCACATTGATGGCAGGTACATCGGGGCTCGGGCAGACAGATGCATTGATGCACCGTAAGCCGAAGCGATCCCAGCAACCCGTTAAATAGTTGCATCTGCCCAGCTGCCTTGTGTTGAAGAGAGCGAAAACTTCTTTTCTTTGTTGAGCAATAAAAATTTAATGGATATGTCAGATAATTTGACTTTCTTTCGATGCTAATAGAACATTTATATCAACAATATTGCGTTAGCAACTGCGAGTCGTGAAAAATGTTCGCTCGTTTGTGCACGGTTGACAAATGTCTCAATTAGCGGAGTCAACGCGTCAAGGATGCTGGAGTCCGTGGGCGTCTGCCAGCGGTGTGGACGTGAATGACATCGTCACGTCGCGTTGCGTCGCATCGCATCGTGTTGCGTCGCGTTCGCCTCCCTTTCAATTTGAAAGCCAAATGAAGCGACACTGCTGCCAAGTAACATTTTGCTGTATGCATTGACCATATGGTCGGTCCAGCCCAGTCGCCCACGACCCATTATCTGTCCCGCGACCTGTGTCCTTTGCGATGACGTCGACAGCAAGCAACTGTCATGCCGGCAGCACGGAGCGCAACGGACAACGTACCAAATGTATAACTGTATTTAAAGCGCACGCTGGGACCAAGTGCTTGAAAGAGAGCAGCCGTGAGCGCCCGAATGGTGAACTGTGGTGAGTAACGAGCGTGTGTTGAGTTTCAATGCGAGAGTGCAACAAATGTTTGGCCTCACTCAACTAGTAGGTGATATATACATAGTAAGGACGTCAACTGAGGTGACTTTGCTTTACTTTGCTGCGTGGGCGCTATTCACTCTAAGCACTGCAAAAAGCGAAAAGTGAGATTATCCCTCGACATCGTTTCGGCACACTGGCACAAATACTCATACATATACATATACGTATGTATGTGCTATACTGCTCCCTGAGCGTCCCATTGTGAGTGTGTCTGTGTGTGTGTATGAAATATTAAAAGCACGAACTTGATTGCCAGATACACTAGATGTGAGGTACTTTCTAAAAGGGTAAAAACTGTTTGAAATAGGTGAGTTTTGTGGGTGTTGATATTGTTTCTAGATTTTCTTAAGACTTAACTTATGTTTGACACAACGATATTAGCCCAGTTTATTCGTTGCTATAGTTGTAAAGACATTAAAACTGTCCTGAAAAACAATCTGGCAAACTTTTTTATTAGCATTAAAAAATACTTAAAATCAAGCTGTTAGCAAGTTCTTATTGGTAATGGCGTCAATGTTTTTTAAGTTTCTCAATAAAATTATTTGGCGTTGATACTTGGTGAAGACATAAACTCTAGAACAGATCGAAATAGTTATTCTTCTACTTTTATTTTTGTAGATTTTATATAAGCAAAGCTAACGAATGGACTACAAAGTATTTTAGTTCTATAAGTAAACAATAGTACAATATAGTAAACAAATTACAAAAATTCAGTAAATATTAAAAATATTAAAAAAAAAACTGATTTCTTATTTAACTATGAATATTTTATAAGAAATGCATATGGCACAATCTGCAGCAACAAATAATATATATTCTTGTTAGTTAACTTTCGACATTGATTAGTTTGGAATAGCTCTCAGAACACAAGAGAGACAGAGCGATGTTTGCTAAGCATATGTCATGAAAAACTTGTCACAAAAAATTACCGTTAATGCAGTAAAAATGTGGAAATTCAGTTAGCTGTCATCTAAACCCAAGCGGATGCAGAAACGGCGTGCAGACCGCGAAAGTGCGTAAAAGCTTTAATTCCCAGCAAACAGGTAATCCAAAAAACAAAAACTTTTACACACACATAATTATGCACTTGACTACGTACACGTGCATACAGACATGCGAGCATATGCTTTTTTCAATTATGTATGTGTGTGCAAATGCCAAGACATAAAAACGTAAGACGTGCAACAGCAGCGCAATTTACGTTGACGTCGACAGCGCTGCGCAAAATACACTGCTAAACAAAACTGACTTAGTTATGCCAATGCGCGTGGTGAGTAAGAAAGCGCTACTACTGTGCTTGCTGCGAAGCCCCGGCGCTGTATGTTGTTGTTGCTGCGTCAACTGGTTGTGTTGCCTCGCTGAATGCACTTGCTGGCTAGTTTTTTGTTGTTGTTGCTACGTTTTGTTTCTCTACTTTGCTTTGTGTGCCACAAACTATTGCCAATTCACACACACACACACACAAAAGCTAGCATGTAAATATGTATGCATTTGTGTGTGTGTGTGTGTGTGTGTGTGTGTGTGTACACATACATATATTCTCACGCGTATGCGTGAGTGTAAAGCTAACATATTGTTGCCATTTACGTCGAATACGCCGCATAAAAACCACCGTAAAATGCAGTAGTTACAGCTCAACATGAAAGCAATTCAAAATTAATGAAATTGTTTTTAAAATGCAATTTGTAATACTTTTGCCTTTGACTTACCAGTTGCTGCAACAACAAGAGAGCAGAAAAATGTTTTCGTTATTTCGCACACAATTGCCCATACTCAAACAGACACGCACATATACAGATATATATATATTTACACGTTCATATATGTACACACACAAGCACGAATTTCACAGCACATACGGCACAAACGCGAATGCGAAACATGAAGAAAACAAACCTAGCGAAGTAACGGCAACAATTTGTTATTGCTTTAGCATGGCACTGTTTTTTTTTCTCTTTCTTGTTTCTTTTTTGGCTGTTTTGGCAATTCCTTTACAAAATGCGTATTACATTTGCAATTTGAGTCGTTTTGAACTAGCGATTGGCATTTGCTTTAACATTAACCAAGCTGAACCAGCTGAAAATATATACAAACAACAGGCGACACACACGAAGACCCAAACGCGGCAACCGTTTGATTTTGATTGACGCTGGGGCACCATGGAAAACTGCAAACGAGCCAAAGCACGCCTAAACGAACGGCGAACGGGCAGCGGCTAGCGACGAACGGCGAGCCGACCAACACGAGCGCACGAAGCTAAATCCGCGGCAATAGCAATGCTTGTACACCACTACTGCGTGGGAGCGGCAGCGCGCAAGAGCAGTGCCGACAAGTTGCATGCAAATTCCTCTATACGTGGGTGGCTAAACTTCGCCACGTGGGTGAGAGGGGGCGCAACAACTGGCAGACAACGGGAATATACATATTTCGTTTGTTTCGTGACCGCAACCTGTGTGAGGGCTGACGGCAAGAGCTTTTTTGCTCGTCTTTTGCCGCCGGCCGAGCCGACAGCTGTTTTTACCGTTCCCCTGGACTGAGACAATACAAAAATTGTTAAGATTCGCACATTTTACGACTATTTTGAGCAGTTGGTAATACATTTTATTCCAATGCTGATTTTGTATATAATCTTGAGTTGAAAATAATTTATCAATGTATACAAACATTATAAGCATTAAGCAAATGCAGCTGATTCGAGCCATGGCAACTCCCACTTAAGTAAATATTGTGAATACACATAAAAGTCAAAAGCTTGCACTGAATTGGTGTGTGTCTTTGATAATACCGTTATAAGAATAGAGCTTTTTGGTGAATAAATACATTTGCTTTTCAGATGGTGCAGAAGCACTTATTAGTCTTCCGCAACTTGAGCCACCAATCGAAGTCGTTATGAATGAACTTAGCCTTCGAATCATTGCGCTTCTTCTGAAAGAGGTCCCGATCCTTTAACCATATGCGCGCGTACTCCATGCCAATAAGCATTGACATCGAGTCGGGTAAGCACTGGAAGAGTTATGAGTTTAGTTATCAGCGCGAGTTCAATCATTCTCATTCTATTAATTACCTCCTGGTCGAGCCTCGACACCATAACATGATGTTGGGCACGTAACCCTGCCTCGGTCGTAAGATTATCCCTGGGTCTGCACATTATGGCACGCGTCCATTCCTTACTCTTCGTACTTGCCATACTATGTACGATCTTATAATATATATACTAGCACAATTTTGATGTACAAACAATTTCGAAAGTTGTTCTCCTTTTTTAAAAACTTAGCTTAAGTCATGTTATTTAACTATTCTACATCAAGCACATGACTGAAATACTCAAAGGTGTTTTGATCTAACGATAAGTCATAGCCAAATTTGACAATATACTCTGGGAAATACTGACAAAATCCAATATTTTTTTATTAAATATCACGTTATTAGTATTGTATCTTATATAATTTCTCTTAAAAATCGCATTTTAAAAATGTCTAACAATCTAAAAATCGATCATTTATCGAAAAGTTCAAACAGTCAATCAGAATAAATTCTGTCATATATATATATACCTAGGTATATAGCCATGTATATCTAGTTAGCCGCACATAGTGCACACCTCATTTGCCTACTTCTGTTCTCATGTCCAAAACGAAAGTTTAAAACATGAAATCCACCAAAAAAAGGAACATAGCAAAGAAATGCTTCCAAGAACAATGAACAGAAAAAAGCAACAACAACACAACGGACTTAAAGACAAAGAAGTAAAACAAACTTTAAGCCAATACAGTACCTATGTATAAAAAAAGCAACGGAAAAGAAAAGAAAAACAATACAAATGTAGTCGAAGAAGAGGAAGACGACGTGTAGCAGTGCCATAGGATGAGCAGCAAACTAAAGCAAAACTCCTCGTCGCACCGCTAGGGAGCGAGCTTAGCAGTAAAGCAAAAAACAAGAAGCAGAAGAAGAAGAAGCAACACAAGTAAAACAAAACGAAAATGTGGGCGGGGTGGATAACTGGCAACGGGACGGGCAAACGTAAATCAAACAAAAATAAAACAAAGCAAAACAAATAAAATAAACAAAACTACGCAGAAGTAGCAGGCGGACGTCAACGACAACGACAACGGCAACAACAGCAGCAACAACAACGATAGCAAACAAGGAGCAAGCAAAACAACAGTAGAGTGAAAAGGGCATTGGGCATGAAAGAATGAAAGAAGCCAAAGCAAAACACCCACAAAAACAGCCAAATGAAATTGTACAAAACAAGGCAATGCAACGATAATTATGATGACGACGACAATGATGATGATGGTGATGATTAAGCAAACGAAGCAAATTCCGTTAGCTAAAACAAACATTTGCAAATGTTCTCAACAAACTTTTGGGGCACAACAAAACGAAATTGAAAATGCACCCAGCACTGGGCATTGGCATTGGCTGGCCAACAATGGCGGATGGAATTCAAGTTTGAGTTCCAGGCCAAATACACAAAAACAGTCAAACTTACACAGTACACACACACACATATGTATAAGAATGTGTATTTCTATTTGTATTTGTATTTGTATTTGTATTTGTATTTGTGTGTCGCTTTTGCTCTGCGCGCTCTACAAACAGTGCCACTACCGATCTCACTCGCTCTGCCGCAGGGCTGTCATCATTTGTTTTGCCCTTCTCGCTCGCTCCCGCCCGCTCTGCAACGGTTGTCACGTCCGTTACCCTTCAGGACGGCTTCTAAGGCAACTGTATGCGTAAATAAGCATTTTACAATAATAGATTCGACCTTGTTGTTGCTTTGCCCATACCATATACCTCACTGAACAGGTATAATGGGTATATTCCGGTAATTATAGAATCTGTAAAGCTTATGCATGCTCGAAGCGCTTCAACAGTCAAAATGATCTATATATATACATATATATTATATATTATATATATATATATATATATATATTATATATTATATATTATATATATATATATGTATATATATATATATATTTATATTTATATTCATATTCGAATAGTTAATGTATGTATATATGTCTAGTTAAATTTGTTTATACGAATGTTCGCGTATACAGGATATATGGTAGTCGAGCATACGCTTAGTGAACATTTGTAGCGGTATTTTGAAAGAATTATATTTTATATTTATATTATAGAGCAGTTAGTTAGCTATTATAGATCTGTTTGACTGTCAGACATGGGGTAATTGCGAGTCCTTTCTATAACCCTCATATATCCATACAAACATAAATTTAAAGCATTTTCAGAGACAGCTGAAGAGTGAAAATTCTCACTTCGTGAACGAGAAACATTAAATAAGGGTTTTAACAGTTATATTTGCTAGCCCCCAAAGAATAATATGCAAATAAATAACTATTGAAAAAATTCTTAGTAAAAAAAAGTTCAAGGGTTTCACCATTGCTAACCCTCAAGTGCAACAGTTGCGGCTAGGTAATACTCAAAACTCGACTAAGGTTAAAGCTCACTGAGTCTTAGCCACCCACGCAAGGTGCACGTGAGTTTCGTCTTCTTCTTCTTGCTCTTTTTAAGGGAAAAGCCATGCAAAAAATGCTTAATTAATTAATTCTTTCGGACTAGAGCTACGTTTGCAGTGTTTATATGTCATTGTAATTGTTAACAGCTGTACTTTTGCAAAATTACAACGGACTGAAAGCAAAACATCAAATAAATATTCGAGTCGGGTATGCCGAACTCAGAGTTACCCTATGAAAAGTGTGCTTAGTCGAGTAGTACTTGAGTTACATTGGAATTATGGATATTTTTTATTGATTCAGGCTGGCATATATAGCTAGATACTATATATATATATATATATATATATATATATATATATATATATATATATATATAGTATTCTCTATCTCTCATACAATTTTTGATGGTTTCAATTGCTATATTCGTAAACTCATTCTAAATTATGAAAAAAAATTGAAAAAAATAATAAAAACTAAAATTGATATATAAATATTTTTATACCCTGAACCCATTGTGAACCATCTGTGTAAAAATGTATGCAAAAGGCAGAAGAAGGCGTGAAAGCTAGTTTTTTAATAGCTTAGAATTTTGCTTTAAACAAATTTATGAATAATTAAGAAGATAGTTCCTACAGTCTTTGAGCTTGATGTTGAGACGATCATGTTGAAGGAGTTATTATTTTTATTATTATTATTTTTATATATTATTAATGTATTTTATATGTTATTATTTTTATATTATTAATATACCATCTATATTTAAAATAAATTTAAAAATTGCAAGCATATAATACCCAACGTAGGCAAGACAAATAATTGCAGGGTATTTAAAAAATAAACATGAAGAAAGCAAATTTTGCTGAATGAACAGAAAATATTATACAAGGGCTGGCAGAGCGAAGCCAGCGCATGTGAGAATTGCAAGGGGAGTTCACGTCGTGTTCGTAATTGCAGTTCCAAAAAGTGGAACAACAACAACAACAAGAGCAGCAGCAGCAGCAGCAGCAACACGCGTACTTCTCTCGTCGAAAACAATGTCAACATGGGGACAGCAATTCGACATTAAACAAATAATCAACAACAACAACAACAATCGTAATGCAACTTGTTTTGACCAAAAAAATATATAAATGGAAATGGTAATAGAAATGGCAATGGTAACTAAGCCACGTTAGTACAAATCGAGTCCAGTTCGAGTGCGAGTTGCAATAAAACTTTATTCTAAATTGACTTCACTTTGAGCTCTTTCCATAATATCGTAAAATATCATTTGAACATTAACAGGATTTTAGCTGTGTAGCTCGAGCCTTTGCCTTTGCCTATGCCACAAAGTGTGGCATACAATCAGGCGCCGAGGCAGCGACTTGAATCAGCATCGCAATTTTTGTTGACTTTTTACTGCATTCAGTTTGCGGTTGTCTCTGCTGTTGTCTATAAAGCCAAGTATATAGCAAATAAAACTGAATATTTTGTTGCCTTTCAGCTCCAAATAAATTTTGTGTTTAGAATAAATATTTATGTCTGTCTAGAAATACATCAAAATATTAGCAAACATCGCTCAGTTAAATTTTTTTTTTTGTTTTTTTTTTTTTAACACAAAACTTTTGTGTTTTGAATCTCATTTAGTTGTATTTTTCTTTCTGTAATATATTGATATAATTTATAATTTTTTTGTTTATTATCTGAAATATATGTTAATATAAAATTTTAGTTTATTCATATAAATTGTGTTGTTAGCAAGGAGTATCCGACTTGATGCTTCAATGCTAATAATATATAATAATAATAATAATAATAATAATAATATATAGACTTAGATATAGATTTAGAATTTCCTATAGTTAAATAATATTAATTATCTGATCATCCGAACTATAAAACAAATATATAATAAAATTTTTATATTTTTAAAGCGAAAGACTTCAAATTAAAATATTACTAAAAAGGAATAAAACCTTCTCCAATTAGAATTATATAGCTTCATTTATATGGCTTAATTTTTCACTTTGAATTTATTTGCTTTTGACAATTTTATAAAAATTGAATATCAGTTGTTCATAGAAATAGTAGTGCCAGATGTAAGAAAAAAACTGAGCTCTAAATGTTGCACAACTGTAAGCCGTAACACACCTGTAACACCTGCACGCATATGTATCCAAGTCAGCATCCTTTACAGCTTAAAAAATCCGGTTTAACAACAGTTAACAAGAGGATAAATTAAAGCACATTTGGATTCGTTTTAGATGTTTGCATCACTCTAACACATGCATGTGTGTGTGTGTGTACATATGTACGTACATATGTACATATGTGCGCATGTATTTAGTCTACACCGAAATGCTTCTAACAAGTTTTTGTTTTGAATACGCCTGCGCAAGGTACTAAAAATCGAAATTTGCAATTCGCGCACTGTTATACTCACACACGAACGACAATGTATATGCATTTGTGTGTGTGTGTATGTAAGCAGAAATAAACATATGCTGATATATTCATATTCATATTCATATTCATATTTATGTACGTATGTGTGTATGTGTGTGTACACAGTTTATAAAGTATAAAGTACATATATATAAATATATATTCTTATATGTGTAAGCAATTAAGTAATTAAGTAAATGCATACACATACAACGCTACATATGCATATATCACTCATATTCATACATACATACATGCATATGCACATACTTACACACACACACACAAGCGCACATAGCATTGTATTTATCTGTCTCACCTTCCCTTTCGCTAAGCCGCGCGACAACAGGCAGCAAATAATTAAGTTCATTGCTTCTATTTGCGTATTGGCTGCCTTGCATATTTCGCCTCGTTGT